TTCATAAGGTTAATGAGTCCTGGAAGTAGAACTGGAATACTGGGATCTTTGCATCCCCTATGCTTAAGTTAATAGGTTAGCGCTATAATATGTGTACTGCATTATAATACTTGAATACCTGATGCTACTGACAGGATTCACATGTCCTTACATATAACTTTTTTTTTCTTTTTATGTCCCTACAATTCCTTGCTTCAGGGTGGTGTCAGGGCAACTGAATGGAGCTGAGCGTTTACTGGCTGGATGCCCTTCCTGATGCCTATGCGGAGTTGGTAGCAGATATTTTCTGTGTGTGCCCTGATAGAGAAACATCTGTCCCTGCCTAGAATTGAACTCTCAACCTTCCGAGTGGTAGACGAGCATTTTCACCTCTAGGCCACCATGCCACTCATGTCCTTACATATAAATGTAAAGCTAATTCTTAAAAGACATTCTTTTAAGTCCTCTTTAACTATTCACTAGGAAATGGTCTAGTGCCATATGACTAGAGGTTGATGAACATCCCATTCATTAATGCATTGCTTATGTAAAAGACATTTCCAATGTGAGCAAGAAAATATGCACAATGTTGTAGTTTATATGAGTTAAAAACTTTATGTTGAAAATTTAAAAAATCTGAATTTATTAGATTATTCTCATTGCTACTTGGGATTTTTTTAAAAATAGTAGTAAAGTGGTAAAGTAGTAGGAGCACATTTGAGTTGAATTTCTGCATTAATAATAAAATAATGACTTTGTTAAAAATAATGACTTTGGGTTTTTTTAAATGTCTTGACTTGGTTCTTTTTGAGTGAAAGTTTACTATCAGTTTTCTAGAATATCCCATTTCAGTAATAATTGCTTTTAAGAGATAACATTACCAACTATTGGCTCCAATCCATTCTCCAGCTATTCTGTGTTCCCAAATGGTACAGGAAATTGGCAGTTCTCAGCTAAGTAGTGTCCTCAGATAAAACAAGACTGGCTAATTCAAGTGCTCTGCCATTTCACATATTTTCACTTCCATCCCAATTTCATTCTAGGTATTCAATTATGCGGAATCTTCTATGACTTGAGTTTTACCTGAAACAAGTTATGTGTAATTAAATTCTGTGGTTAATACTGTCAAAAATCCAGAAGAGCTATTAGAATGTTTACAACACATTTAAAAAACTACCTTGTAACACTCTACAACAACAATAATAACAATAACAATAACAATAATAATGGACCTTGGCGGTCTTCTAGTCCAGCCCCCTGCTCAAGCAGGAGACCCTATACCATTTCAGACAAGTGGCTGTCAAGTCTTTTCTTAAAACCCCCCAATGATGAAGCACCTACAACTTCTGAAGGCAAGCTGTTCCACTGGCATAGGAAGTTTCTCCTTAATTCCAGGTTGCTTCTCTCCTTGATTAGTTTCCATCCATTGTTTCTTGTCTTGCCTTCTGGTGCTTTGGAAAATAAATTGACCACCTCCTCATTATGGCAGCCTCTCAAATACTGGAATACTGCTATCATGTCTCCCCAGTCCTTCTTTTCTCTAGACTGGCCATACCCAAATATTGCAGCTGTTCTTCATATGTTTTAGTCTCCAGGCCTTTGATCATTTTAGTTACTCTTCTTTGCACTTTTTCCCAAGTCTCAACATTTTTTTTGTAATGTGGTGACCAAAATTGGATGCAGTATTCCAGGTGTGGCCTTACTAAGGCTTTATAAAGTGGTACTAGTACTTCACATGATTTTGATTCTATGCCTCTGTTTATATAACCAAGGATTGTATTAGCTTTTTTGGCTGCTGCCACACATTGCTGGCTCATGTTTAATTGATCGTCCACTAGGACTCCAAGTTCCCTCTCACAGTTAGTTTTTGAACCAGGTTTCGCCTAATCTGTACTTGTACCTGTCCAGGTGAAAAACCTGCCTTTTCTGCACATTAAATATAATTTTGTTGGATAGGGCCCATTGTTCAAGTCTGTCATGATTTTTTTGATTCTGAGCTTGTCTTCTGGAGTGTTGGCTATTCCTGCCAGCTTAGTGTCATCTGCAAATTTGATAAGTTCCCCTTCTATTCCCCCATCTCAGTCATTTATGAAGATATTGAAGAGTATCGGGCCTAAGACAGAACCTTGTGGTACCCAACTGCTTACCTCCCTTTATATAGATGTAGTACCATTAAGGACTATTAATTGAGTACAGTTTGTCAGCCAGTTACAAATCCATCTGGTGATGATGTCTATCCCGCATTTTTCTAGCTTACCAAGAAGTAGGTTGTGGTTTATTTTTTCATATCCCTTGTTGAAGTCTAAATATACTATGTCCACAGCATTTTGCTGGTCTAGTAATTTAGTCACTTTGTCAAAGAATGAAATAAGGTTGGTTTGGTGTGATCTGTTTTAAACAAACCTGTGCTGGCTACTAGTTATAACATTATTCTAGATGTTCACAGATCTGTTTTTGGATTATTTTTTCCAGTATCTTCCCAGGTATTGATGTTAGACTGATTGGACTGTAGTTTCCTGGCTGTTTTTGTTCTTTTTTTAAAGATGGGAACCACATCAGCTCTTTCCCAATCCTCTGGTAGTTCCCCAGTGCTCCAAGACTTTTTAAAGATATGATACAATGGTTCTGAGTTAACATCTGTCAGCTCCTTCAGAACTCTTGGATGTAATCCATCAGGTCCCAATGATTTATATTCATCAAGGTCAGACAGGTATTCTCTTACCATTTTCTTGCTTATTTTAATGTTAATTTCTAGTCTGTTTTTTAAGTTATGTTTTTGGTAGGTTGGGCTATAGTTCCTTTTTTGTGTGAAGACTGATGCAAAGAATGACTTAAGCTTTCTCTTTACTGCCTGTTCCTTCTTTGCCATCTTCTCTCTTTAGTGGATGGACTGTTTTCTTGACTTTTTTTGTTATTTATATGTTCAAAAAAACTTTTTTTATTATCTTTGACTTTTGTTGCAAGTCTTTGTTAATTCTGATCCTTTGCTTTCCTGACTTTATCATTGCAGATTCGGTTATCTGCTGATATTCTGTCTTAGTTATGTGTCCCTCTTTCCATTTTTTGTACTTATCCTTTTTGTCTTTCAGTTTGTCAGAGAGAGCTTCGTGCAACCATGCTCATTTATTCTTGGATTTCTTGTTTTTCTTTTTTAGTGGTATTGTGTTGGGCTGGGCTTTTATGATTATATTTTTCAGTATTTCCTACGCTTGAGTTGTTTTCCCCTTTAGGATTTTTATCCATAAAATTTTGCTTAGGCTCTGAGTTTGTTAAAATCAGCTCTTTTAGTTTAAGACACTGATTGGATTATATTCTATTGCTTGTGTTTGCATTATATTGAATTCCAGTATGACATGGTCACTCTCGCCCAAGGTTCCCGCAATTTCAACTCCATCACTTTTTCTCTATTAGTAAGAATTAAGTCCAGTATAGCTTTTCCTCTAGTTCCTTCCTCTATCTTTTGGATGGCAAAGTTGTCAGCTAAGTTGGTTAGGAATCTCACATTTGCTGCAGAATTTGTCTCCCAGATGATATCAGGGTAGTTAAAGTCTCCTATTACTTCTGTGATATGTTTCCTACATATATTTGTTAATTGATTAGCAAAGAGTTCATCTATTTCTTCTGCTTGGTTGGGTGATCTGTACTATAAGCCTATAGCAATGTCATTCTTTTTTCTTTTTATATTGACTCATATGGATTCTAGGAGGTTTTTGTATATTTCTATAGAGATGTAGTGATCTTTTATACATAATGCAACTCCACCTCCTCTTTTGTTGGGTCTGTTTCTTTTGAATAGTTTGTCCATCAGTACATTACAGTCATGAGTTTCATCCCACCAAGTTTCAGTAATGGCAACTATATCATATCTGCCTTCATGCACTAATACTTCAAGTTCACCCTGTTTGTTCCCTAAACTTTGAGCGTTACTATATAGGCATTTGAGTCCTTTATTGGTCTTTGTTATATTTGTTGTATCTCTTACTTTGTAACTGGGATTCCCCTCCTTCCCATCACTCTCTATTTCATTATTTTTTTAAATTTTTCTCTTTACTCCATTCCTCCGTATGTGATCTAGTGGTTTTGCTATAGGTTGTGAAGTTTGGCCCTCCCCCCCTCATTTTTAGTTTAAAGCCCTTTTGATAAGATGAGCCAGTCTTATTCCAAATATATTTTTTCCAGTTCTTGTGAAGTGCAGTCCATCCCTTGCCAGTAGCCCTTCATCTAGGTAATGCAGACCATGGTCTAGGAAGCCGAAGTTCTGTTGACAACACCAGTTTTTAAACCAGTGGTGAAACAAATGGTTATCATTAAAATGAGCTTGGCTGGATTGAAATCCTCTTCACAAGATGCAAAAGAATTAACATCTAAATTTAATTCTATTACTAATTCTAGTAATTCTTCTTCTACCCCTAGTACATTTTTAAAATATAAAGTTAAAATATAGTCTATTAAATCAGAGGAAAAACAATAAGCAGTCCCTTAAAATAGGTAATAAATCCAGTACTTCACAAATATATTTTTTGTAAAGCAAAGAACTTGTGCCAATATTATAATGACTTGTAATTTTCTCAAATTAGTAAACAGTTTTCCATCTGCTCTGAGAAAAACAAAGCAAAAGGTTGTCAAAGCAGACAATCTCTAAGCTGGCCGGTTACGTTAATCCCTCCAACATCTATTTATTATTCCTAATAAATTCATATATATTCAATATAAACTAGAACAGATGCCAGAAGAAAAAAGAAAAGAAGATTAACAAAATTTGCCTTTGTGACAAACTGTAAAGGTAACATAGCATTCTTCCCATTTCAGCTGCTGCTGTAGCTGCTTTTTTCTCATTAAAGAGGAAAAGTTGGTAAAAGCTCTTGCTTTACCAACCTGATTATGTAGGGTTTTTCCCCCTCCCCAGCTAAGAATGCTGCAGGATATTTCTTTTCCCTTTTCTGTAGAGGAGATTAGAATCATGCCACAGTGCTTTCCAAAGAACTACGTGCACGTATCTAATTAATGACAGGACAACTAGGAACTTTTAAAACATCCCTCTTCTGCTTTATTGACAAGTAGATTGTTCAAAAATGTTCTCACAATTCAATAATTACAAAGACTTGAGACATACATTTAAAAAAAAGAGTAAAAACCAGAAAAACCCCAAAGCAGTAGTGTCCAGCTCAAACTGAGCTTTATTAATCAAGAATCTGAGAAAGAGCAAATATTGTCAAACACTTAATGAAACAGAATTAAATGTTGACTAGAACCACTTGGTTTAAACTAGGGATAAGTGCATGTCCTATACAGTGTCTCAGGGAAGAGTGTTAGCCATTGGTATAGCATTAGCCCATAGAAACCAGATTTTAAAACAATTGACATCCAACTGTCATCAAATTGGCACAGAAGGCACACTAGTGTGACAATGACAAACTGAATATGCCAGCCATAGAATTAATTACATGCTTTTAAATGAAACATGATCACTAGGATGGGCGGGTAGATAGTGTTACTAAATGTATAATACATGGAAGCATGAGATTAAATATACATGTAATATGTCACTGCTGCAAAATATACAGGAATGTGCTGTGCATTTCCTCCCCTACACATTCAGTACTTTTAATGAGCAATCATGGGGTTTGGATCATCATGCAGGTGAAGATATAATGAATTAAGGAAAGTGGGGGGAAAAGACGAGGTACCCTCATATACACACCCCTCTATGCTTCCACTTTGGTTACCAAGAAAAATCAGAAGCAATTTATTACTACACAATCCCTTCATACAAGCAGCCATCGGGGGGGCAATCTCAAGAGAATGCTGGCCTAGTAAAACTTTTAAAAATGTAGTGTTATCTTTTTACTCTGAAAAAAAATCCAAGAGAAATTACAAAAATGTTTGAGAAGATGGACTGCAAGAAAAACAGTAAAATCTGTTTTCCAACAGTATGTTGTTTTTTTAAAAAAAGCCTTGTCCTAGCTAATCAGATCTAAAAAAGTAGGGTAAGGATAAAACATTTCTGGTCCTTTATGTACATGACTAAAATTTCAGTAGAAAGACATTTATACAGCGGAGAACATATGTAATGGCTAAGTAAGTTAAAAGGCCACAATCTAGAAGTTCTGTTTTCACTTTCCTGTTTTATTCTACTGAAGCTGGAAATGGCCCTACAACTTCCTATCATCCCTCTAAACTTTGAAAAAAGAAAGAAACAATATATTTTGAATATATTTAGCCAAGGATGTAACTAGACTGCTTTTACTTCATACTCAAAAGGTCTGGATTTTTTTCTAAAAAGAATTTGCTGATAATGAGACATTACGTTATCCTATAGAAAAATAATATTCCTGGTACTGTATAGTAATAAAAACTATCAGCATCTCTCTTTTTTCAGTTTAAGTATGAAGATTTTATCAGTAGCCTTTACTGTATGTCATGAGAGAATCACAGCTGTGCAGAAATGGATCCACCTTGAGAGTAAGAGTGAACAGTTTACATTAAAAAAAAAACAATTTTGTTACTATAGCAATAAAGATCTCTTGCCTCCTTTTTTATGCCCTCAAATCTACAATCTAGATACAGGAATTTACTTCTGTGCAATGCTAAAAATTAAGCATCAGTCTTGGCACTGTTGTTGGAGACAGATGTCCTGCTTTTGATGCTCCACGACACAGCAGGCAATCCCAAATGGGAGAAACAGTGGAGAGAGCTGCAGTGTTATGCATCACAGGTTGATTGGTCTAATCCATCTAGTGTCAGCTGATTCCTGTGGGGAGAGTTGGGACTTGGGGGGCTGCTTGGGTTAGAGCTGTTGGAAGGAGTTGAGTGTTTGGTAGAATCCGAATCAGGCTGTTAAAAAGAAACAGAAAAACAATGTCTTCCAGTCACATTCTATTTCTAGACCAAGAATTGCAAGATGCATTTAACAAAAGAAGGGGCCTGGCCAGCGCAACAATTCCAATTGCCCCTGAGAGGACCCCTCTTCCTCCTCATCTAATATCTCCTACCCTATTATGTGCCCTTAGAAGTGTGAAAATAGTGTAGATTTATTCTTCCTCCCAATTTCCTCTTCAAAAATCATATTTTCTCCTAAGTCTTAAGCCTTCATCTATATTCCTATGTTCTTACAAAATTTCTCTGTCTCTTTCTTCTCATGTTTCTTTTTGCTTTTTTTGTTTAAATAAATGTTATTCTGTCATTGATTGCACTGATTAACATCTCTGTGTAAATCACTACTAATCAGAAGTACGGAGTCCAGAAGGCCTCAGAAGCCAATAGCTAGTAGCAATCAAATGTTCTAAAAAGAAACTTGCAGCTCACAAAAGCAAAAATATCAAAATCAAACAAATTAAATTTGAGAGGAGAATGTATCTGTACATTTATAGGTATCCATGAAATTGTTTTCAGACCTATTTTATGAACAGCCTTCTCTATAACAGAATATTCCCCAATAATTTAAGTTATAGATTTTGACCTTCAAAAATACAAAATTCTTGAGATCCTCACATAGTCTCATCAGGTAACTTCAGATATTTTAGTACCGATTAAAGATAATATTTTAGCTCAAGGTTGAACTGTGGGATCCTTGCTGCTTTTTTGAGCTTGGTGGGGTTTTTTTTTTTTTGCATTTACCAAATTAGGTAATATATTTTAGCAGTAGTTTTATTAAAACTACTAAACTACTGAACCTCAAAACCCTCAATATATTAACATCATGAACAGATGTCCATCCTTCCTCGCTAACATCTTTTCAAGGACAGAAAGTAATAAGTTATCTGGAATGTTATGTCACTATACAGTGGGCATTTCCAGGGCACTAGATGTGTAAACATAAATACAGCCTTCTAAAATATTAAAAGAAACTGTGGACAGGCATTCCATTTACAAATTCCTCATACTGATAAGTAACATCTATAGTACACAAAATATTGTTTATTACACATACAATCTTTCATGGGATAACAAACCACAAACTTATGTCCATTGGGATCAGTTTCCCAATCACATGGAGAGTTTTAATTTTGCTTAGCAAGATGCAGTTTTTGCATCAACACAAAATGATGGAGCCAAATTTTTTGTCTTCCTTTCCCTTCCATGCATTCCTTTTCAAATGTTCTTTTGCAATAGGCAAAGAAAGATTCTGTTGGAATTATATCCTGAATTTGGTTTGACCTAGAGCTGAACAAAGAAATGTATGGCCAAATTATGCAAAATGTGTAATTGTATAATTTCCTCAGGGCAGAATTCCACCATGCTTAGTTTTAGAACAGACTATAAAGGTAAAATGACCGGTGATCTTTTTTATTATTAAGTGGTACAAAAAATAATTAGAGATTTATGAAGCAGTTAAATATATGCATCCAAGATGACAGCTCTGCCTTTGCATGCATAGCTCTTTTGTGAGATAGCCTGCTGATAGCAGGCATTCAAAGCAATGTCCTTCCTTGGACAATTTTCTGGTATTTTGGAATGCAGTTAATTATTCATAATGTTTAGCTTCGTAGCAGATGTGTTAAAATGGCAGTCAGTTTAATTGGGAAAAGAGGAATTTATTTAGACAACAGATTAAATGGCTATATCGCTTGAAGATATACTTGTCAAGATTGTACTGTGGTTGCAAACACTGTAACTAATGCAGTTGTTCAGACAAAAGCTGTGATAAAGCAACAATCCATAGAGTACAATCCAAAGTTTTATGCTGCTTTTTCTATGTAAGCATGCATACAAGCCCCCACATTGTTCCAAATACAAAATTTCATATGAACTCACTTTATTTTTTCCCCAATGTATCACTGGGTATTATTTGTTCTTGTTAATCCTAATGTGTAAGTCATCTAGAGATGCCTTTTTAATTGAAGCAGCAGATAGCTACATTTTTTTTTAAAACAAAATACTGTCTAACAGTGTAGGGAATAAACTGAGAAATCCAGATTGGAATTCTTCAATTCATTCACTTGAATCTATATGTAGCAAAATACATGAACAAGTAAAACCAAGCCCATTAAGACTTTTTAGAGACGAGATGTGCAGCATCCAAAAGGACAGCTAAATATATATGCTAAGGAAAAAGTATATCTCTGAACATTGTTTGGTATCCAAAACTGGATGCAGTATTCCAAGTGTGGCCTTACCAAGGCATTGTAAAGTGGTATTAACACTTTACGTGATCTTGATTCTATCTCCATTAATGCAGCCTAGCACTGTGTTGGCTTTTTTGGCAGCTGCAGCACACTGCTGGCTCATATTTAGGTGATTGTCCACTAGGACTCTGAGATCCCTCTCAGTTACTACTATTGAGCAAGGTACCACCTATGCTGCACCTGTGCATTTGGTTTTTCTTGCCTAAATGTAGAACCTTACTTTTTTCACCATTGAATTTCATTTTGTTAGATAGTGCCCAATGTTCAAGACTGTCCAGATCCTCCTGTATCTTAAGCCTATCTTCTGGAGTGTTGGCTATTCCTGCCAGCTTGGTGTTATCTGCAAATTTGATGAGTTCCCCATCTATCCCCTCATCCAGATCATTGATGAAGATGTTGAAGAGCACTGGGCCCAGAACAGAGCCCTGAGGCACCCCACTACACACTTTCCTCCATGTAGATGCAGTTCCATTGAGGACCACACACTGAGTACGGCCAGTCAGCCAGCTATGAATCCATCTGATGGTGATGCTCCCTAACCCACATTTTTCTATCTTATCAAGTAGTAGGTTGTGGTCTACTTTATCAAATGCCTTACTGAAGTCCAAGTAAATTATATCCACAGCATTCCTCTGGTCCACTAATTTTGTCACCTGGTCAAAGAATGCATTAAGATTTGTCTGGTGTGATCTGTTTTTGATAAACCCATGTTGGCTTTTGGTAATGACTTTGTTTGCCTCTAGGTGTTCGCTGATTCGTTGCTTATCTTTTCCAGAATCTTCCCAGGTATTGAGGTCAGGCTGATAGGTCTGTAGTTTCCTGGATCCATTTTTTTTCTTTTTTTGAAGATGGGAACTACATCAGCTCTTTTCCAGTCTCTGGTAGTACCCCAGTGCTCCAGGATCTTTGAAAGATATAGTTCAGTGGTTTTGAGATCATATCTGCCAGCTCCTTCAGAACCTTGGGGTGTAATCCACCTGGTCCTGGTGATTTGAACTTCTCTAGGCTGGACAGGTACTCACTTACCATTTTCTTGCCTATCTTAACTTGTGTTCCTATTCTGTTTTTTATGGCACTATTTTTGATAGGTTGGTCTGTTTTTTCCCTTTGTGTAAAGACAGATGCAAAAAACGAGTTAAATAGTTCTGCGTTCTCCCTGTTGCTTGTCGCCTTCTTACCACTTTCTACCACTAATGGACCAATCATTTCCTTAATGTTTTTCTTGTTTTTTACATGTTGAAAGAAGCTTTTTTTTGGTCATTTTTGATTTTGGTCGCAAGCCTTAGTTCATTTTGAGCCTTAGCTTTCTTCACTTCATCTTTGCAGGCTTGAGCTATTTGCTGATATTCTGCCTTAGTTATGTGCCCTTCTTTCCACTTTTTATACTTGTCCTTTTTATCTTTCAATTTTTCAGAGAGTTCTTTATGCAGCCATGCTTGTTTCTTTTGAGAGCTGTTATTTTTCTTCTTCGTTGGTATTGTGCTAAACTGGGCTTTTATAATCTCACTTTTCAAAATTTCACAATTTCTTGAGATGTTTCCCCTGAGGATTCTCATCCATGGAATCTTTCCCAAGCTCTAAGATTATTGAAATTAGCTCTCTTAAAGTCCAAGACTCTAGTTTGACTATGTTCTATTGCTTGTGCTTGCATAATGTTGAATTCCAATATTGCATGATTACTCCTCCCCAAGGTTCCTGTGGCTTCAACACCTTCTATCATTTCATCTCTGTTAGTGAAAATTAAGTCCAAAATGGCTGATACCCCTAGTTCCTTTCTCTATCTTTTGGGAAACAAAGTTGTCTGCTAGGTTTGTCTGGAATCTGTTTGATCTTCCACTTGGTGCAGAGTTTGTCTCCCAGTTGATGTCAGGGTAATTAAAGTCCCCTATTACTATTGTGATGTGCTTCCTACATACCTTAATTAACTGCTAGCAAAATATTGGGTGGCCTGTAGCATACACCTATGGCAATGCCATTTTCCCCCTTTTATAGTGACCCAAATGCACTCAAGACAGTTTTCATCATTGTTGTGCTCTATTTCTGTAGAGATGTAGTTATTTCTTATAGAGAGAGCAACTCCACCTCCTCTTTTATTTGGTCTGTTTCTTTTTAAATAATTTAAATCCCTCTAGCTGTGTGTTCCATTTGTGGGTTTCATTCAAGTTTCTGTAATAGCAACAATATTAAATCTGCCCTCATTTACCTGAATTTCTAATTTACCCTGTTTATTGCTCATACGCTGTGTGTTGGTGTATAGACATTTGAGTCCTTTATGGCTGACCCTCTGTTTAATTTCTACATAACCTGCGCAGTGCCTGAGTTCCCCTATTTCCTTACCACCTGTTTGGTTAGTGCACTTGGTGTGACACTCGCTATTAAAAGCTTGATTTTGCTTGACAACAAGGTTGATATTCTTATCCGCACACACATGTATGTTATATGCACTGATAATTCTATGTGTTTCCCCCCCTCTAATAATAGTTTTCTAACGATTAAATTCATTAAAACTAAAAACTACAGCTGGTTGCAACTGAAAATTCCTCCAACATCCAGTGAAGTTATTAATGGTAATGCAACATTAAACCATTAACTAGGATGGGTCTAAGATTAAAAAAAATCAAAGCCATCTTTGTCCTTTAAAAACTTATGAATCATTTGTTATTCTCCCCAAGGAAAAATGTTAATTTTGAGAAGTGTTCCAAGCACATATTTGCAGAGAATTTAGGCTTTCGATTGGATTTCTGGACAGCACTACATTCTGCAATTTGGCATGTTGGTTATGTAGACAGCGGCTTGAACAATAAAATGTTTGGTATATACCCAGGAGCTAACAGCACCTGGTAGCTCTTGACTGGATTTGGAAGCTAAGCAAGATTGGCTGGATTAGTACTCAATGGGACTCTTCCAAGGAATTCTAAAGTTGTAGGCTAGACTGGGAAGTATCCCCCGCCAAAAGGGGGGGGTTCCTCAAAGGCAATGGAGGCCACTTATACTGATGCCAAGAAAAGAACATAAATGTGTCCATGGAGTCATTAAGATCTGGGCTCCACTAAAAGGCTTGTCTACTGAGAAATGAAAAAAAAAAGTGCCAAAAAAAAGTGCAAAGAAGCACAACTAAGATGATTAAAGGCCTGGAGACTAAAACATATGAAGAACAGTTGCAGGATTTGGGAATGGCCAGTCTGGAGAAAAGAAGTACTAGGGGGGACATGATAGCAGTATTCCAATATTTGAGAAGCTGCCAGAAGGAGGAGGGGGTCAATTTATTTTCCAAAGCGCCGGAAGGCAAGACAAGAAACAATGGATGAAAACTAATCAAGGAGAGAAGCAACCTGGAACTAAGGAGAAACTTCCTAACAATAAGGACAATTAACCAGTGGAACTGGTTGCCTTCAGACGTTGTGGGTGCTTCATCACTGGAGGTTTTTAAGAAGAGACTGGACAGCCACTTGTCTGAGATGGTATAAGATCTCCTGCTTGAGCGGGGGCTAGACTAGAACACCTCCAAGGTCCCTTCCAGCTCTATTCTGATTGATTGAAATATGCCATTATTGGATTTTCAAACTCTTCAGATAGATACTGCTGTATGATGCAGGATCCAATCTGGGTTGGTGACCGGGACACACACTCTGCTAGAGAGAAGCTCCCTAAGGATGGACTCCAAGCACGAGTCCAAAAGCTCGGAAGACAAAACCTGTGAGTCCTGGTGACCGACCCAGATTGGATCCTGCGACATTATCCTAGGACACGTATATTTACCTTCATTCACTGCTGCATGATTTTATATAATATCACAGGTTTAGATTATATACACATACATTCAGATATAAAAATGTAATTTGTAAAAATATTAGAAGTCAGTACCCTTTAGTGTATCAATGATTTTTCTAAATTCACCTCACCATTTGAAAACCTGTGAAGATATAGAGATTGATCTCACCTCTTTGTCAAACTCCTGATCTGGATCAGACATACTTCGCAAGGGCACGGTTGCTCCCTGGTCACTGCCACCTGCAAAGCAAAAGTATTTGAGAATCTCCCCTAGGAGAAGCTTATGAAGCTTATAGCTTTTAAAGATATCTACTTCAACTCTTACTTGAAGATGGCCATGAAATGTAGCTTTTATTTCTGGGAGGTGCTTGGCGTGAAATGTTGCTTGTTGGAGGGCAAACCTTTTCATCTTGAGAAGAAGGTAAACCAGTCTGTAGCAAAAGGTAACCAAGCTCAATTAGATATTTTCAACTTAAGTTTCTTTTTTAAATACAGAGCCTTTTAAAATATTTAAAACCTGAAATCAGTATAAGCAGCTCTTTTTTTTTTTTTTACAAATCTGTTTCATCTTGACTACTGAGAATCATACAAAGCAAAGCATGTTGCTCAAAGAATCAGTGAGGGGATAAATATAGCCATTCCACCCCAAAAAGCAAGTAAAAAGGTCAGTATTTAAGTCTCAGTTCTTTCCTGTAGCTGGAGACATTTTATAAAAGTTATTAGAAAAATAAGTCTATCTGAATGAACCACATCAAATTATCTTTTGCTTTATAGCTTTATTTCCCCCTTAAAGGCTAATGCATAGCCAAAGATATAACTTATTGCCTTAGTTTGGATTTGGTAATATTCTATTAATTAAGGGGTCTTATTGATTTTGCCAGTGTACTATTACAGTCTGATATTATACAGCATAGGGAACAGAATTTGATTGCAAATTATGCCCTTAGGCTTTCCAAATTATAAAATGGGAACATGATTGCCTTTTACTTTTGCTGCATTTGGCAGCTATGATAGTAAATGCTGGCAGTTTGGTTGCAATGAGACAAATATTGAGTATTATCCAATAAGCTTTTACTTTGCCTCCTGCTACTGGAAGGATGGTTACTCTCTTATCCTAGATGATTAGCCTATTAGAGAAGACGGGATTTAGATTTTGCAGTGACAACCTGCTGTTTGAGCTGCAGAACTCAGGGCGGGAAAGCACAAGCTTATTCACGCAGAGGTTAGCCAGCTGAGAGGTCTAGTGCACACTCTCATCCACTTCAGTTCCTAAAGAGCTGCTCCTACCCTTGCTACAGAAGCAGAGGAGGGGCAGGAAGAGGAGGAAAGCATTGAGGAGGAATGGTCACTCTGGAGAAAGAGATCAGCAGAGACAGGGCTCATGTGATAGACGTGCTCAAAGCCTGTTGGAGATGATATCAGAGCAGAATGTCGGGAAGATGAAGGGGAAGGAAATTCGTTCTGTTATTTTAGACAAAAGAAACAAGAAAAGGAAGGAGGAAAGAAGAGTTATTCAGAAACACTATCATATGCCTGACAATTTACTTCATTTTCCACGTCCTTCTGAGTTCCTGGTAACGGCTCTCAAAACAGTGTTACGGGGCTATTAAGACGTCATTTCCATATACCCACCCCAGAATGAAGGCCAAGGGTTGGGTTTGGATTCTCCCTTCCCTTTTCCTCTTCCTTCAGTCAGACCTATTAACTAATGGGATTCCTTTGTATTTTTCTGATTATTGTCTTGCCTGTGATCGTAGGAGCGTTGGAAAATATGTCAAGAGTAGAAGAGATTTTTGGACTGAAATAGCTAACAAATTATTGTGAAAGGAGTATTTATTTATTTGTTCAATGCACAGGTAGTCCTCAACTTATGACCACAATTAAGCCCAAAATTTCCATTGCTAAGCAAGGCAGTTGTTAATGAAATCCAGCTTTCCCCCCCCCCCCCACTGAATTTGCTTGTCAGAAGATGACTGGGAAGGTTACAGATGGCGATCATATGATTCCAGGACCATGCAACTTCATAAATACATGCCAGTTGCCAAGTGCCTGAAATTTGTCCACATGACCACTGGGATACAGCAATAGTGATGTGAAAAATGGCCATAAATCACTTTTTCCAGTGTCTTAGTAACTTTGAGCGGTCCCTAAACAAATGGCTGTACTTCTATAAGGCTGCCCATTTCAATGTGCGACTTTGGGTAGCAAACTATAAATATAAATTAAAAGCATTAAATTAAAAGTAACAAAAGATTAAAAAAAATAAAACATAAGCAGCTGATAAACAACCCGAATCACTAACACAACCAAGTGTAAAAGATTGCATTACAGCCAACCTCTAAATTCTTTATAGGAACCACCTTAGGCTTGCTTAATGATTTCAATCACCCCTTAGAAAAAAAAACAGTATCCCTGTTTTGACTCCAAAACTCCTGCCAACTAACTTGTCCTTTGGCAAATAAGCTGAGCGAAGGCTTTCCCTAGGAACATGTTTTGTTTTGTTTTCTTTACCAATGGCAGATCCATGAGCACTTGCATTCCATCTCCTGGTCCCATATGAGCCACATGGTTGAAATTGGTGGGGTTGGAAATCATTCTGGATCTGAGCTCAGGGTCTCGGAGCATCTCCCTGAATCAATAAAGGGTATCAAATAGTGATTTTTTTTCAGCCTGGGAAAGATTCCTTTTCCACCCAGGTTATGAGAAAAATACCCAAGGCTTACCGTCTTTGTTGTAATCTTTCTTCCTCGGGAACTTTAAAGACGAATCGTCTTTTGCTTCTAGTACGAAGCATTTGCTTTTTGCTGTTGTCAGATGTTTCTGGCACACTAAGAGCAGCTCCTCCTGTAAAACATAAAATGCAATTACATAGCTAGATACAATCTCCTACAGGCTGCTCCCCCGATTTTCATCTCTAGGTCTGCAAAGCCCCATTTACACATAAATCACAGATTGCTTTCTAGAACTGTCACTTGACTGCAAGGTGTGCATACTTCAGTTTTAGTAATGTTTTATATAAAGGCCTGTGCGAATAAGGGACTTAATTCAGTCTTTTAACAGAAAAGTTTCTACTCCTCAGTTTCTGATACCTTCAGGTAGGGCTGGGAAGTGTCTCCATCATATGCCACCAATCATGACAATACTAGTCTAACTGACCCATAGCCTTATTTGGTTATGCATGAGGAAGATCTCCCCATTCAACCATCTCCTTTTAGCTGATTAAGTCAATACAAATATATATTATTAAAATAAATTGTACAATTAAATACAAGTAAAATAAATTAGTGTTTGTTACAAAACTTCAATTGATGCCTCATTGAAGCACTAAAAAAATGAGTAAATCCTACCACCTACTGAAATAAAGGCCACTTTAAGTCTTTTTCTTGTCATGCGATGTTCAAGTCATAATAAAAACTAAAATATAAATATACAACATACTAAATTAAAATGAGACTCCCCAAACTCACTGGGCATATGCCCCTCTACCAACCTGAAAACTTGTTCTTGAAATAAATTAGCCGAGGAGGTTCACAACTAAGGAGATTCAATGTGCCATTAACATTTAGAGGTCGGATCTGTTATCAAGGCAAAGTGAGAGAAGCTTTTTAGAACAGGCCTTCAGTACAATGCAATGAAGTTTTCAGAAAATTATAAAGCATATTTTACTCTACACTCGAGATACTAACCTTTCTTAAACCGATAGTTTGAACCCATTCCATATCGTTAACATCAAAAACATCAACCCCATATTCACTGTACACGGTTAAATAGGATGGATTACAACCTGGAGAGAAAAAACAAAATCTCTTATGGCTCCATATATTTGAAATAAAACTGAGCAACTCAGTGTTTACTGTTGCTGTTTCTCAAGCTGATTAATATTGGGAGAGTGGCATCTTATGCAAAATTTTCATGAGCATGGAAAATCCTTGCTGGAACTATTCCACTTTTGACTGCAGGTGGGCACTTTTGAAAGAGACAGATAAAGCCAAAATTCTGTCCCAATAGCTAGCATTTTATAAAGAAGAAATATTACCTTTACATAATTACTTAATTTGTATCCTACCTTCATGTTTAATCAAATATTCAAACATTCACATTCAAACATTCATTTTGAATACACAACGGGGGGGGGGGATAAATAGGTCTAATGAATAATGGTGTTTACTTACTTTGTTTTCAAAAGGTTTTACATAATAAACTTCTGCCTGATATTCAACGACTCTGGGCAACTAGTTATGCTCATTAAAAAAAAGCAGTTCCCCTGACCATACAATTATCTCACACTTCTATCTGCTACTCAGAGGAAAACCTGTTCTAAACACAGAACTGCCCCTAGATAGCATTTTTGACAGCACATTAACTGAAGCATTTCCCATTCAGTGATTGGATTTCAGTTTACCAGCAAGAGCCTTTCAGTTTAATAAAAGGATGGCAATTCCTTTTGAACATCATGTAAAATCACCTTTCCCTTATTTTGTAACAGTAGATTTCATATATATCTTTAAGGAAATCTCTTGCAATGAATTCATATATTCTGGCCGAGATGAAAGGCAGTCATTTTAATTCGAGTATTCAAGTATTCGCAGGCATTATTAATATTATCTCCAATTTTGATGGAGGGCAAGCAAAATAGCAAGAAAGAGTTAAAAGCAACCCGAGATGACATCAAGCATCAGCAGACAAACCACAGAGTAGCATTTAAGATCCCTACCACACAAAAAAGAGGATTAGGGAAGAGGGAACTCCTTTGCACCAACCAAACCAGGATCACAAATTCATATAGTACAGTGAGTAATAAAAGTAAGGTAACTTTCTGTCTATATTACTAAAAGTAAAGTTGTGGGAGGAACCTGCCTTTTCTTAGGACCTGGAGTGACTGATTTCACACTAAGACTAGGCTCATATGCCACACCAAGCAATACATAGACCATAGAGCAAAGCATGGCTTATACTAGTGGAAGGCAACAAGAAAAATGGTTCCATAATTGTTAAATAGTTTCTTTTGCAAAATCTGAAAGCAAGTCTAGAGAACATGTACATTAGGCAGAATGCTGAGTCAAATCGGCTATTGTGCCTATCAGCTGTTCACAAATTGAAAGTGAAGCAATCAAAGATACAGAAACAGAAAAACATATACATACTACACGCAACTGGAGTCGCAGGCCACATTAGTTCCTGCATACGTGATCTTCGACCTTGAGCATCAACGTATACTCCCAATAGGGTGAAGCAAAGTAGGTATTCCTCACTGCTGAGCTCCACAGCACAAAGGGTATCAAATGACTGTTGTGAGAGGAATGCAAGTGAAGAATCAGTGGAATTTATCAGGCTTATAGACTGTCCATCTCCTTGGATGTTCAACAGAGAGAAACCGGATGGGTAGCCAACACAAAGCCTGTCTTTGAATACAGCCATCCATTGTACATGACCAGGAGCTTGGATTTCACTGAACTTTTTATGGAAAGGTTTAGTTCTGTGAATCTCGTAGCAGAGAATCTGTCGCTTAACTGCCACAAATAAACTCGGTAAGGAGCTCTTCTTCAGCATTCCAGTTGTAATGAACTGGCAGCCTTTTGTTTCAGGAAGTTTGACATCAAAGCTGCTTTCAGATCCATCCAGGGAAGACCAAGGATACAAGTGAACATGACGATTCCGACCACAAATAAGAATAATAATTTTCTCTTTGGGAACAAGTTCTATCTGGTAGACCTTCTTGCAATCAGCAGCTCGAACAATCACTATGGAAAATAACACATACACGTAAGAGAGTATATATGTTAACAATGTAATTGTTTAAGATATATGTAATCTTTCACTATACCAAAAACATAGTTTTACCAACTCAAATCTCATTATGAATTTTTAAAACTTGCATCAAAACAGCAATAAATAAATAACAAAGGCACACTGTTTTATCATGGCAAGAGCAAAATGTTTCATTTTAAACACATGTAGAGAGCTGCAAGTTTATCCTGAAAATGAAAATCTAAGCAATTATGGATCATTTCCTGAAAAAAAAGACCCATGACACAAATTCTGACTTCCCAATCATTTTATCAATAGGCACCTTCACAGTGCCCAGGAGAGGGCAGGAAAAATACCAGGAAAAGATAACAATTATTATTCATACAGAATTTCAAAACAGTACAAATAAAATCAAAAGTAAAATGCACATAGACAAGCAAAAATATGAGGAGTAATTGTGAATGTTCAGAAAAAGATAGCTCTTAAGATATGCCCTGAACACATTTTTCTGTCTTTTGCTCCTTCTCTGTTATGGAGAAGGTTCCAGAATGTGAATAATTTGTACAGAAAAGGCCCTCTTTATTAGAAAGCTTAATTTCCCTATAGAATCAGAAGATTCTGAGTGCCAATAGCTGGGGTTATGCATGGGTAGTCAGGTATTTAAACACTGAAAAGTCAAGCAAAACCCCTTTGAATTAGGCTCAGAAACCAAATGGCTTCTGCTGCAAGTACCTTAGGATAAGTATTTTTAAAATATACTGTCAAAAGTCTGGCAGTTATATTAGCTAAAGCCTCTGAACTGTCTTCAAAGGTAGTTCTGTAAAAAGATATTACAATAGAAAAGCATGGAAAATGTAAAGCATGCCTATTTGAATAATCTACTTTTCTTTGGTACAGAGAAAACATGATATAATTTATATTTAACTATCAATAATTCTCTGGAAATTATGATTCAAAGGATTACAACATTACTTCTTTTGGCACTGTGCAAAATGTGCCTAGGTATAGCCTTGATATGAAACCTATACCATACATAATTGTTAACCACACATACTTGCAGAACGCAATGGACCAAAAGTCTCAAGAAAAATAGATTCTCATATCTGCTTCTGGCCTGTAAGCTCAAGAGAGCCCCTTCTCTAGAAATTAGTTCACAAATCATAGAAGATTTTTCCCATGTTTAGCATAATAAATACAAACATAGGAACAGAAATATTGCTCTGAAAATCAGAAATCAATTTTTGATAACGAAGAATAAAAACAAAAAAAATTAGCTGAAGGTTAAAATTATTTCAATTATCCAAATATATTGCATCCAAGTTACAGAGTAGCAAACCTTATTGTTAATATTTGAAGTCCTTCCGAATGTCATAATTATTCTGCAGTATTAGCTTCTGAGGTACGTGAAACTGGATGATACAGTAGCAGGATTTCTGCACTGTAGTGCTTGGACATGCATTACAAAAAACTCCAGAGTATCCAAGAAAAACTGTTTTAAATGAATAGTCCCAGAAGGCCAAAGAAGAAATCTGCTATTAGGCAAGTGATGTAAATACAAACAAGATAGAGAAAGCCTGCAAAACACAGCTTCTGGAATTTTTTCTAACCCCTCAATAATAGCTCCACTCACGTGACTAGCAGGAAAGAGAAAAGGGGCTTAAGAATGAAGCAATTGACATAATTCTTTTCCAACATTCTTTTGGATTAGAAAGAATAAAAATGAATGATATTTCCTATTTACTTTCACATACTGTCTTGCAAATTAATATTACTGTGAATCTGCCTGGACTGAGGATTTAGAGCTGTACAACACAAATATATATATGAATTCTTTTTCAATTCTCTTTAGGCAATTCTCTTTGCCTTCTTTAATACAGAGGAAATTGCCCAAATGCTAATAAAATAGGTTTCATGACATGACAAATATGTTTTGATCAGCAGACAGAATAACAGGAAATGGAGATGTACTTTGTTCTGGATGATTTTGTACTAATTAGTTTGCCAGATTGCAAAAACAAACAAACAAAAAAAAACTAACGAGGGATGGGAGACCACATCAGAAACCCATAGCTTTAGGCTAGTTTGAAAAGTTGAAAAGGGCAATAACAAACTATTTCTTTACTGTTGCCAAGTGGGAAAAAAACAATTAGCATATCCATCAGGAGCCAAGTTCAACTTGATGGAGAGAGTTTTTATAGTTTTGGAATGCTTCCCTTGGTCAAATGGCTAGCTTTCTTACTTTTCCTTTTCTAGCTTTAGTTAGTGTGCACACTATCCTACTTTCCAGATAAAACAGAGTTGATTTTGCTCCCACAACTCCTAATTAAATCCAGACCAGATTAGCCCAATGTGCCAAAAATCACAGGCTTTTGGAAAGCAGTCAGAAAGTTCTGATGTTCACAGAATACATAGCTAAATTAATTTCTGGAACAAAAAAGCTATTTATCATCTCAATTTTGGTCTATCTTCACCCTCTTCCAGTTCATTTCCAAAACTAACATACTGTACACACACACACACACACACACACACACACACAACCATCAAACTACTCCCATTCAGGATAAGCTAAACATTATGCAAGTGAAGAGGAGGAATAATAGCAAAATAAGTAAAGACATGAAATAAGAAAATGAGTAGAAAATATATATACATATATTTTATACAAACATAATTTATTGTATATCTCCACATCTTTCTAACAACCAAAACCAGTGTTTCTCAACATTACCTGTGGTAAGATGGGTGGCCAATGTGTGTGTGTGTGTGTGTGTGTGTGTGTGTGTGTAATCAGCAACTTTAAAATATGCAGACTTCAGGTTCTAGAATTCCCCAGCCAGCAAAGTAGTTGAAGTCCATGTATGGATTGTATGTCCATGTATATTGCCTCTTTCAGTTTCTTAAAGTTGCTTCTATCCTTGCTTTTATCATAACAGCACATTCCTGGTTTTTAAACTTGTAACCTCTTTTTGAGGATCTCATCCATTTCCTCTTACTGTAACCTCTTTGGTTTTTCCTTTTCCTTCATCCCATTCACTTTCTCTTCATACAATTGTTTGCAATTCGATTCCTATTCATTCTTTCTGTATCACCAAACTATCTCAGCAAAGTTATTTTATATTCATCGGTTCTGGTGCCACTTTGTGACCATGCTCTAAAATTGTGTGGGTTTTTTCTGCAGCTGAGCTTATGGAAAGTAGAATGGGATGGAGGGGGGGTCAAGAGAGGAAGAAAAGAATGTATGATTATATGTATAAAGATAAAAGACTAAATTTGAATAACTATTCATTCTAGATTACCTAAAACTCCCACAGTATCCCAAAGGGTACTACTGTGATGAATTTTATTATGTCAAAAGACAAATCACCCAGAGATGCAGCCTAGTGGCCTGGTTCTTTTTTTCCAAGCAAGGTACAAAAGTAGCTTATCAGTTAATTGTGGATTAGGAGAGAACAAAACCAGATTAGCCTTTATGAATATGCATTTGATGTCAAATGAACAACTGCCTTTTGTGAAAGGTAAGAGCTCTGCCAGTCAAAATGTCCCATAAAAATGACCATTAAACAGTTCATTAAATAAGCCAATATTCTGAGTTTTGAACTTTTGTCAGAGAAGCAAATTCTACATAAGGGAATACTGCAAATAATCAAGAATTAACTGATAGAGCTCATCCCTCAGCATGTAACTGCTAAATGCAATCAAAAAATTACTTACCATCACGGGTGACTTCTATGACATAGAGTCCTTCATCTGAACCAATTGCTATTCTATCTCGATCTAATGGTGACAAGGTAAGAAAAATAATTATTAATATAAATATTCATTCTAACCCTGGTTTAACAGAAAGCGTCCATTTGACAAACTGAATATGTTAGAAGAAACATATGCTAAAAGAACTGTATTGGATACTGTTTTGCGGTATCAAATATCAGACCTCAATAATAATGTAATTAAATCCATGTCTAACCAAATGAAAAGTCCACAGAATTTAGTAAAGCTTGCTCATAGGAAAATAGGTATAGCAATGCAAACTATATGGTATGGGCCTCAGATTATTTAAAAGAGAACTCTGGAGGAAACTATGCTCCAAGATTTTTCTATTTTGGAGCTTAAATTGTTAGAGATGAAGGGGAAGATTTTTCAGTAAATGTTGCTCTCATGATCTTCATAATCAAGACTGTAGTACTGGGTTAATCCCATCCATCTCATCCCATCTCCTGAAATGAGGAAAAATAGTTCTATTCCAGAAGATTTAAGGAAAGTGAGATATTTTTAAATAGTTGGGTAGCAGTATGCTTTACCATTTCAAACTGTTGTTAATATTCTGCTCTTTTATTACTCTAACATTGTTATATATGGTGCTAATATAATCCATTTGGTACTTGCAGTTAGCAACTGTCCATAAGACAGAAGCAAGGAAGTAACAGGCAGGCAAACAAATGATGACTTCAAATGAAAAGGAAATATAAAATTTGTTAATGTACTTAACAATTTTATGTTAACACAATAAGCAATTCGACCAAAACTGAGTCAATGCATCTAAGCATTGCTGACATCTGCTTCAAGCAGTGATAAACATACACTGATTCGTTTTATAAGTCAATCACTCAATTTTATGCAACTAATTTTTCCTGTCAGGAGATAAAAATAAGAAATAATATATTTAAAGATGGCAATGTATCAGTCTCAATTACAGATGTAATGTTACACATCCAAAGTGTCTTGTTATATTCCAACATACCTATAATAGCAGCAGCTAGGCTGGTTTTAATGAGAGGCAGTGTACTGTCATAGGCTTCCTGTGGAATATGTATAACTTGATTTCTGAGTTTATTTTTGTGCAGAATAGATTGCAGTCCCTCTAGAATTCCAACCCACTTTCGCTTCTCATTCTCATTTTCTGTTAGGATCAGCAGAGAGCACGTCTTTGAAGGAGAGCCTAAGAGAGAAGCCGTCACCTTGAGAACAAGAAGATAGAGAATGAAAATAATTGCATTAAATTGGCCCACGTGAGAAATGCCTCAACTAAAGCAAGGTGACAAAATGGAAATGTAGGCTAGATTCAGACAAAGTGTTTTTTCAAAATGGCCTGCTCCAGACTGAGCCTTCTGTAGGCAGCATGAATAAATGCAGTGATAAAAGAGAGAAGGGATAATGACACTCTGATTTCTTAGAAGCCATCTACTGTGCAGATATTGGCATAGGAAGGATTTGTTTTACCTTCAGTGTTTCCCCCAACCTCAACCAACTTGGAAGTATAGCAAATCATTTTCATTCTTATCCCTGATTTTAGGCCTAAGACTGTGAATCAGAAGAGAGATTGTAAAGTTCATGTTCTTGGGGGGGGGGGGGTGATTAGATGATATATCTCCCAATCTTTTGCATTAGGCAAGCTGGTTGGGAATAATGGGACTTGAAATAGCATGCAAGACACCACATTGTGTCTGAATTTAATTTCAATGAATTCATTTCTAGTTTATATTTAATTCATTACCAATGCAAATTTACAATGCTGGCAAACCTCGTTTACTCTTGTTTTGTAGAGCAGGGGTTCCTAACCCCTGGTCCATGGACCAGCACTGGGCCACAGCATGCCAGCAACCGGTCCACACAAACACGCAAAGCCTCATCCGTGGGATGCAGGCAGCACACAAAACCACGCACCCTCTGATCTTCTGAAAAACCTCTCTTCACGGAACTGGTCCATGGTGCCCCAAAGGTTGGGGGCCTCTTTTGTAGAGTATGCCAGAAATATTGCTACAAACAGTGATACAGTGACAATCACATATTGTCTTTACTCATGTGATTAATCAGAAATTCTTGCTTCATTTTCATCTCACAGAGCCCTCTCAAAAACATTGTGCATAAAATTCGTGCAGGCATAGAGTTAAGCAAGCTTTGGATGCTTACTTTCTTTCCAATTAAGTTCCTTTCTAATTCATTCCGATTAAGTTAGAACTTCCAGTCCTTTGGCAAACTCAACCTTCTTTATTCTAATTCAGTGAGCAATATATATATATATATACATTTGATATGTTTCATTGCCCATACAAATGATTCCCTCATAGCTTCCTCCCTATGCATTAATAAGATTTGCTGGTGCTCAAAACAAGAGCTTTTGCACTCATTTTGCAATTTATCAGGTTGCTTATAAATGGGTATACTCACTGTGACTCTTTTTAGTAGAAATGGGCCAACAAACAATAAGAAGATTTAAAAAATGTTTTTAAATAGTCCAAACCTGTAAATATGTTTATAAAACTCAATAGAGGAGGCATACTTACAGGGCAAGCCATCAGAATATAAAATGAGAGTAAACCTTACTCGCTACTAGCACTGATGATGTTACCTAGCTTGGTAATGAAATGTCTACAAGAAATCAATCAAGCTCAGAAACCACCAAGGACCCCTCATTTATAAAACTTGTCTGAAATCTGGCAAATGTATATCTACAGTAGTGACATCTATTCTTGCAGGTATAATTCAATTTCGCCTTAAAAATTAAAATGTGGGAGCTCAATGATAGTAAAAAAACCACGAAGGTTCCAGATTCCTAGAATTGACCCAAGTAAAATTAAATTAATTATGAATAGAGTATGTGTTGCACAGAACACATGGTTCTGTCCAAAACATACTCTGTTCATAATGTGCAGAATCTGGTTGCCAGTATACTCTGTAATGTTAACTCAAACATAATAATTACTTCACTTTCTTCAACACTATACAAATTATTTTACTATTTATTTTAACTTTAGATTGAATTCTTGCCCCTAAAACATTTCCATATATGGATGCTCCTAGTTCATTGGTGTATGTATTATGTGTAATAAAGCCTTCCTTATTACTTGGATTCATGGCAGTTGTAAGGTAATGTGGCAATGAAATTACCATCCTGAGACACTTTGATAACCTGGAATTTACCTAAATTAAAAATAAAATAAAATATGACCTACAAGCCAGATAACAAAACCAAAACTTTATTATGTACGCTATCTCCAAAATAAATATTTCACCTTCTTGATTCATCAGACAACCTCTTCACAAGAGAGAAGTAAAAGATACCAAGCTGCAATACACACACACAAACACAAACACACACACAAACGTGTATCATATAATTGCATAAAGTAGCTGAACATGTTTCACCACTGGCTTATCACCCTTTTAGATAGATTCTAAAAAAAAATTAGAAAACAATTAGAATAGAATAAAATCTATTTCTGTGACTAAATTATTATAAAAAGACTGTAAACCCACAATCAGCCTTAGATAGAGAACCATACTTCCCTGAAAATAAGACCCAGTCTTATATATTTTTTTGCCTACAAAAGAGGCAGCAGGTCTTATTTTTGGGGGATGGCTTACCCGCTTACCTAGGACCGCCACAGCCAGGCCTCCCTCTCTCCAACACCTGTCGCACCGCCGCCCAAGTTCTTCTGTGGCTGCTTGCAGCTGCATGCCGCTGCTCGTAGCAGGAGGCAGCGAGGCTCGTTGCAACGATCATGCCGCTAGGAAGCCGCAAGGCTCATCGTGCCTGCTCGTAATCGGCGCAATGAGGCCATGCAGTATCTTGCAGCGAGCAGCAACAGCGGTGCAACAAGCCTCACAGCTTTTAGCTGTGAGCGGCGGCAGCGGCGTTATCAGCACGAGCCTCGTGGCCTCCAGCTGCAAGCAGTGGCAGCAACGTGATCAGTGCGATAAGCCTTGTTGTGACTGGCGGCAGCAGTGCAATACATCAAGTAGTGTGCAGCTGCAAGCGGCCACAGAACTCGGGCAGTGGCACGACAGGTGTCAGAGCGTGGGAGGCCTGGCTGCGGCAATCCTAAGGTAAGCGGGTGCGGGGCACCTAAAATCAAGCTAGGGCTTATTTTTGGGATAGGTCTTATTTTCGGGAAAACACGGTAGCTATAGAAACCTAACAGTTTCCTTTTGCCTAGATGGGATAATTCTGTGAAATGTTATTTTTTATCAATCATAGCTAAGTAAAACATGAATTGTATTTGTACAAATTAATCAAATGATCATACCCTGAATATACAAGGAACATCTTTACGGGTTGCATGTATAACATCCGATGCTAGGACAGAACTCACACAAAACTCTTCATCTCTGGAAAGAAAACAACAGTACATATTTAAAATCCTTGTTAAAAGCAAAGATTAGCCACTTTTCCCAGGAAAGAAATTAACAAATTAATAGGTAAAATTTGAACCACTAAGTTAAAGAAATTTGGGGTACAGGTTTATGATATTATTTTCTACCAGAAAAAAATCAAGAGCACGTGAGAACATAAATCTATTCTTCTCTCATATCTTATACAAATGTGGCCTACACTTTTGTCAAAAAGCATACAATATATCAAAGTATGCTATGTAACATCAAAGAAAATTCAATGATTGCATCATTCTTCATTTGCTAATTTTTCTCTGACACAATCAAGCTTACAAAAAGATGTGGCTTAAGGATGCAAACCTGAGATCCATAACTTGACTTGCAACAACTCCTGGCTGAGTGGATTTTCCTTCAGGCACATCGTAGAGGAAAAGTTTACAGTCACAGACAACTGCATAAACCCTCTGCCATCCTTTCTTAACTCCTGTTGGCTTTGGAACCTGTAAATATAGACATATATTATTCATACCATAAAAGGGGGTAAAGACTCATTTTTATTTATTAAATTTTATTATTTTATTAAATTTATATTAATATACCATCTTACCATTGAGGCAACTCATAAAAATACTTCCAGGGATTTGCAACAATATATACATTTTTCAAATATTGTAACTTCTTCATTTTAGATATACAATAGCTGCAAACAAAGCAATAAATCGATCGATTGATCAATAAATATTATTGGTTTCCCTAAGGACCCCAAAGTGATCTTTGGAATGTCATCTCTTCATAGAAAATTGCATGACACTCATTTTCTCAAAAGCTGACTTTGCAAATAATGTTAAGCTATAACTTAATGAAATAAGCAAAACTCTTTCAAGCCATGGATCAATTTATAAGAAATCTCTTTTAAAAGTATTAATTTGAAGTTAATGATGATGGTATATTTTAAAATCTCCCATAATTTCTGACATAGGCTGTCACAAGAATACTTATCTCTTGCATAAACAATAAAATTCCACCATTCCTGATAAAATGATTTGCAACTTTGTATTGTTAAATAATGGATTTTATCGGATACTTTCTCAAGCAATCCATTATATTATCTACATATTCCCACTGTTTAAATATGATTAATTTTATTGCTAAAAGTAGAAATTTGAACAAAAATACTTTGCAATTTTTTGTTCTGATTGTCAAATATATGTGATAAATCTAACTTTGGATAAAACTCAAACCTTCTGTTTAGCAATATATGTCATCCCATCAAATTTGAAATTTTACCACATCAATAGTAAAAGAATACTCCCTTCAGGTTATAGCCACATCAAAAATTCAGTAAATATTCTGTCTGCCCAACTGGTCAATCTATATATCTTCTGTTCGATCATGTTCGATTCTTGAAGACTCTGGACAAGACCGTGCAGTTTTCTTGACAGAGCTTTTCAGAAGTGGTTTCGCCATTGCCTTCTTGCTAGGGCTGAGACTGGCCCAAGGTTACCCATAGGATTGCCCTTGAAAACCGCTTTGATGCTAGAGCTGATGCAGAATCCAGTAAAAAAGGCAATAACAGGCATGTACCATTATTCCTGTGTGACCCTGCTGTTTTCAAGCTAAACTGGTTATTCAGTTGGCTTCCAAGAGTAATTAAACATAATGATTGTCATCTATGAAACACTTTATGGCATAAGGCTGGTCTGCTGGTTTCCAGTTGCTTCTGTCCATCTGGTGAGATCAGGTACAACAGATACACTTGGGATCCCATTGATTAAGTAGTGTCATTTAGCAGGATCCAAGAGGCGTGCCTTCTCTGTTGCAGCACCACCACCCTGGAATTATATCCCCAACTCCCAAGATTCAGATGGCTTGAATGCTAATGTCATTCAGGAAGCTTTTGGAGTCTTGACTATTCTCCCTGGCTTCGGGGGCAAGGTTATGGTTGAGCCCCTGTTTAGGATATTCCAATTCCATTTTCTATTTCATTTTTGTATTTATCCTATTTTTTAATTATAGGCCACCCTGAAATGGGCGAGCTAGAACAACAGCACTGCATGTGGGGGATACACCTAAGCAAGACAGTGGGGAGAATAGTTAGGCGGCGACGTCAAACGACCGTGCTCTGCCAGATGAACGTTCTAGGTGGGCGGGGCATGGGGGGAGAGGCAGAGCAGTAAAATTCAAACAAATGTCAGTTAGCACAGCAGAAACAAGATTGATGCAGCAAATTGTAGGTGTGCGGGGGATGGACAGACCTATAATATGCTCATTGTCTAAATCTTAAGCTTCCCAAAGACTATGAGGATGAGCATTTCCAGATCCTGGCTTATACTTTGACAACGTCGGCAGCTACTGATGAAAGCTTAGTTCTTAATAAAATTTTAGTCTTGGAGATCAACGTTTTTAGTAGTTTTTTCTGTTTATGTCAAAGTACTAATTAGGCCCAACTCTGCTTAACTTTTTCAAGATCAGTTGAGTTTAGTTAAGGGCTGCTGATTGTTGTCATTATTTTATGCTGTATAATTACTTTTTCAAATGTCACTGACACTCCACTGAACTTGGTAATTGTTTCCACCTACCTATCTTTTTTAATCACGATTTTGGAGGACAGGAGCAATAACAATTTGATAATAGTTAAATACTGAACAATCTTGAAGGTACAATCAATAAGCAGTAACGGGACAGGTTCTCTTTAGAGGAAAAGGAAATGCTAGGAAACAGGACTCGCTTAAAGTAGAGTGCGCTTGGGAATGATGATCAGGACATCAGCAATGAAATTAGCCTATCAGAGTTGGAAGCAATGTCTTACACTTGATCTTGCCATGCTTGACTCCTGAAGTTTCTAGTCTAATTTATTTTACCTGAAATTGTACTAACTTTTGAATTCCTCAAGAAGTGACCAATTTGGAGTTTGCAATTGAATTTGGAATCTATTTTACCGCCAGATTTGCCTGACTGTCTATGTCTAAATTGGAACTGGTATTTGACTATGAACAGTAACTCTGATTATTTATTTACTGACCCTCCTCTTTTTCTGCCAGATTCTTACCTTGACATAGCCCTTATAGGCTGTTCCTATGCCTCTTTGAACATCTACTCCAAGAGGTCGCTTGGCTTGCTCTGGAGGTATAGGACAAACTTGTGGTGCACTGTCTTTGCAGGTAACGTGGCATGCAAATGAACACACTAAGGATGAAAAAATAAACTTGTTAAGCTGTGTGTTGTTACACAATAAATTCTACAGATTACTGAGAACTGACTAACAAAATTGTGAATGAGCAAGAAAAGGACATCACACCAGCTCCAAGAACGACCAGTTTAAAATGGCAAACACATTTATTTCATATTAAAAAGTAGTGAATGTATCATAGCAGGAGTTTCATTAAACCATAATCATACCTCAGTAATGTTATATTTTAAAGTATAAAAGACTCTCCGGGTTTTAAAATTATGGCATTTTCTTTCTTCCTGAATTTACAAATACTAAATTATTTTGAACAACTCTGTTTCATTCTCATCAATTATTTAAGTGAATAATTCTTTAAAAGACCCATTAGAATTCTGATTTTAAACAAAAAATGGAACCTAGTTTGGCAAAAAACCCCTTTTTTTCTTATGAAATAAAGGTCTATAATAAAAATATGTAAAATCTACAGTTAAAGGAGTAAAATGCACACCAATATTTTCAGTTCTGAGAATGGTTGAATTGTTTCCCTGGACTTAATCCTCCAAATCAAAAACTATAACCCCCAGATAGCTGTAGCTATAAAAACTATAGCCAGATCGAGATGGTCTGAAGGAAGAAATGTAGGTTTTGCACATCCCTAATCCACAATTTTTGGCTGGCATTTGTAACTTGCTATGAACCATGTAATTCTGCAAGCAAGAGAGAGATTGAATAGCTTCTTTAATACCACATTTAATTCCAGAGATACTCAGACAGCTTTGGAACCCGATGCAACTGAATAGACAAGTTACCCTACTGTACTTCGGTCTGAAGATATTCAAGATCCGTCAAGCTAAATAAAACACTTATGTACTATAATAAAAAAACCCATTCATCCATATTTTGGATTTCCCAGTGTTGTGCATATCTTCTCCCCTAAAAGTTATCAGAGCTCCATTTAATTTCTAATATACAGGTAGATCTCAATCACAACAGGTCACTTAATGGCCAAAGTTCCAACTGACCTGAAAAAGGGGACTTGCAACACCCATTTGAAGTTCCACTGGTTGCCCCCCCCCCGTGTTCACGTGATTAAATTTTGGATGCTCACAACACAAACAGATTTATGGCCATTTGCAGCATCCATCAATCAAATGACCATGTTTTATGACAGCTTTGCTCAAAACTAGCACTTACTTCCAGTTTTTGGCAAAACTGCATCCATATTGAACCAACGGTTTCCTTAACAACTGTATTCGTTTAACGACCATGGTGATGTGCTTAAAGACCATCACAAAAAAGGTAATTTTACGACCATTATGACATATGGTTGTAATAAGCAGATTGCATTATGGTCATATGTCGAGGACTACCGGTAATTGGTATTTTTTTCAGTCATCCAACATGTAACATTCCAGTATGAAACATAAGTAGCCTGCACATGCAGAACGGGGAGCAAACATCACTGTGAGTTAGGATGGTGGTCTCTCTTTATCTGTGCAATTTGTCCATTTTTTAAAAGTGATATAAACTCCCCTCCCCTCCCCAAAATATGGGTTGCAACTATCTGCCTGGCTAGTACTGACCCATAGTTCTAGAATGCCTAGAGAGAAAGTTGTAGATACACCTAAGATGGTAGTTTAATTTTTCATGATATATTTCAGCAATATATAGGTACACATTCTGAGAAATACTGTTTAAGTCCCAAACATTTAGTGTCATTATTCAAAAGAAATTCCTATCAATATCTAATTTGTGTGAAAGCATTCTATAATATTCTATATTACAATACAAGTAGAAACAATCCAGTAATCTATCTGTTTACTAAAAATATTTTATAGCATCTTTTATATTGTTCAGTGTACATAGTCTTATTAAGAAGGAATCACTGAAACAATTCAAGGAATTGTTCCATTCCCTAAATTGTGTGGCGTATCTGATGCCTTAACATAGCCATACTATGAAAACATATGCATTTGGGAACTAAATGTCTGCCTTTATTCAATACTACAGTTATAAATAGATGCTTGTTACAAGAAAAATTTAAACATATTTGTTTTTTTCCAAATGATAATTAGGCTATTAAGATGCTCAAATATTTAAGAGATTTAACCAACTTACCATCGCAAGCATAACCCTGTCTAATCAATCCCACCATGAGAGATGTACAGTGGCTGCATTGAGTTGGGCTTGAAAAGGATTTGATACTTAGTTGATGAGCTTTAGGCTGAAAAATAAATTCACAATAAAGCAACATAAAAGTTCATTAAAAAATTGACACCTCTAATAAATTGTTAATGATAAAGTGTACCAGTTTCCATGTCAATGCAGTGGATGGCTGTGGTTAATTCAAACCCTTATTTGGAATGGATCTGAGATAGGAGCTACTCCTAGTATGCTGCTGATACAGTGTATTAGATCCTCCATCTCCATGTAAAAACCATCTTGAACAGAATAATGCTTTAGGTGTTCATTGTAATTGTTTTCAGAAGTTAATGAGATTAATGTCACTCAGTTTTTGATGAACTGTTAAGAATGTATTGATTTCAAATAGGTACTGTTCTTTTGCTTTTATGATAGATTAATGTGCTTCCCTATTGATTATGCTTTGTTTGTTTTATCCTGGCTTTTGTACTGTGCTGAAATACTTTTTGTATTGTGTTGAAATTGGTTAATTTATATTTGAATTGTACTGCCAAAAGCAGTATATTCATTCTTTCAAAATAAATACAAGTCTAATATAGGGTAGTTTGGGCAATATATATTTTTTAAAAATAGGTGCAACGTGCAACCGCCGAAATTATAATCAACAATCAGCTAAGAATTATAACCTACAATCAAATCCACTCATATACCAACAAACTAAATTAATATGTGGGCTTGTTTAACCCACCATTATTATATTAGCTTTTACAGAAGCTCAACATCTTTTTTATCACCATACTTAATGCTATATAGCAAAACTAGTTGCTTACTGGCTACCACAACTGAATATCAACTGTTCTTGGTCTGTGGAACAAAATAATATATATAAAAAATATGAAGTTCTAATTTGGGGCTGGTGAACCAGGGCAAATCGCTTTGGTAACAGGCTGATCTAAGGGCGGAAAAAAATCAAGCCAGCAAATTTCCAGTCTGATTGAAAAAGAAGAAAAAGAAGGGAGGAAATTATGGAAATTTGCCAGATCAGACTAGCTGGATGGGCACTGCTTGCACTTACTTTATAAACATATGGAAGTGGCTAGAGAAGCTATTCTCTCTTTTTTTTAAATGTTACAGCAGTTCCAGGTTTTGTGGAAGATAAGAGGGTTCTTCTCTGACATTTCCTTCATATATTATTGCATGGCCACATTGTCACAATCATAATAGAAACTTAAAAAAACCCTAGCTTTAATGTTAACTTGCTGGGCCTTTTACTGATTAAAAAAAGGTCTGAAAATACCCTCTCAGGCAAAGATTTAGACAGAAAATGCATTTGTCATCTATTTGTACAACAGATGTTTTCTGGGGAAGAACCTGTCCCACTATGAATTAGCTCAGACATGTCAAACTCGCGATGTCATGTGACGTCACGCAACGAATTGGGACGGTTTTGCCATTGCCGGCAATGGGGTGGGCGCGGCTTCCAGATGACACGTCCAGCCCGCGGGCCAGCAGTTTGACACCTCTGAATTAGCTGGAAACAAAACACCCAGATACACTCTCATAAGATTCTATACAGAATTCATTTTAATTCTTAGTCCTGGTTAAAATAATCCTAAAAAAACAACATGCTTAGACATGGCTAACATCCAGACATGAACAAATTGACAAATGGATCATGCATGAGGCATAATGCCTTTCATGTTAACTCTCTGCCCACATTTTTTTTGTTAAAACAAAGCATTAAAGCCCCCTACCTTTGGTACAGCTAGAGAAATGGACTGAATGGTGGGGGAGGGAGCAGCAGGCATCCTCTGAAGCCGAATTGGTTCCTGAATTGCAAAAAACTGTAGCTGAATAACATTTAAAATTTCCAGGATCCCATATACATTTGGTCTTGCAACATTTGACAAATCTACTTCTAAATTTTAGTAAGCAACTCTACTGAAAAATGCTGGCTTGCCACTAACTTATTAGAAGCAAGTTTGCAGATCAAGACAGTCTCACAGGAAAACCTGCACTTTAGCAAGCAGCAGAAGATAAGCAAATAAGAGAGCAAGAAATGCACAGCATAATGAGACAATGAGAGCCAGGGAAACGGTAGCAAAACAAATGAAACTCACACCAACTTTGTACATTTAAACATGACACAACTCTACAAGTAAACATGCTGTGAAAAGAGAAACTCTTTTCTCATAGATCTCTGATTGAGACACACATTTATTAGGATATGCCAAATTGTTTATTTGGATATGGACGCTTACTTCTTGCTGCTGCTGTTCTGCAGTTGCAACAGAAGTTGACAGTGACACCTCAGTCTTTGTACCTTGTACTTCCTGCTCACTAACAGAATTTGTCTGCAGAATGGGGAAACACAAACAAGAAAATTAGCTTCTAGCATCAATATTCATTCAATATAGGAAGATCAAGGTCATCTGAGGTCAAAGAATCTGTCTGTTCAGAATAAAAAAGATAAAGAGAGTTCCTCGGCACCCCCTAAAAACAAACCCCCAAAACACAATGGAAATTATTGTGACAGAATGGTAGAATGATAATGAACTGACTTTTCCTTCTAAAATAAAGACCTCATTGGTAGGCCTCCCCAAATCATCTAAAGTTATTTTGAACTGATTATAGACACAATATTCCACTTGATTACAAAGTCCAACCAAATGCCAAAATCTACATAAAAGCATTAGTTAATTATGTTTTTTTATTATTAAAGTGTATCTGAAAGCTGCACTGTCTGAATGGCATGGAATACATAAATCAATTTGCAGGTGTAAAAATAGTGGAGGAGGAAGAAGGGGAAGGAAGGAAGTATGATTATAAAAGACATCCCTAAAAATGAAGACTTGTGGATGAGGATAAGAAATCCAATTTATTGTAAGATTGATATTCTGTCTTATTTGTGAATTAATAGTGGCACATGGCAGTCTTTTCTTCCATTCTTCTTCAAAGAACTACCCTGTGGGGTGTTTGTTGGTCTGAAAGAAAATGATGACCGAAATAGTAACTGGATAGTAATGGATTAAGATAAACTTGAATCTGAATCTATCAATCCAACACTTTAACCAATACTTCACATTATTGTCAGAAGAATGTATTATAAAGGAATAAAATAATCTGCTTACTACTTGAAACATTACAACTATGTTTTCTGTTAATTCACCTGACACATAAACAATGTCAAACAAATGCAGATGCCAAAAAAGCCAACATAGTGCTAGGCTGCATTAACAGAGAGATAGAATCAAGATCATGTGAAGTGTAAGGCCACACTTGGAATACTGCATCCAGTTTTGGTCACAATATAAAAAAGATGTTGAGACTCTAGAAAGAGTACAAAGAAGAGCAACAAAGATGATCAGGGGACTGGAGGCTAAAACATATAAAGAATGGTTGCTGGAATTGGGTATGTCTAGTTTAATAAAGAGAAGGACGGGGGGGATATGATAGCAGTGTTCCAATATCTCAGGGGCTGCCACAAAGAAGAGGGAGTCAAGCTATTCTCCAAAGCGCCTGAAGGCAGGACAAGAAGCAACGGATGGAAACTAACCAAAGAGAGAAGCAACCTAGAACTAAGGAGAAACTTCCTGACAGTTAGACCAATTAACCAGTGGAACAACCTGCCTCCAGAAGCGGTGAATGCTCCAACACTGGAAATTTTTAAGAGGAGACTGGACAGCCATTTGTCTGAAATGTTATAGGCAGTGGTGGGATTCAAATATGTGAACAACCGGGTTCTCTGTGTGGATGCCACTTCCGGAAGTCCATTCTGGGCCTGGGCAACAAAAAATTAGCTACCAGTTCTGTCAGCTGAATCCCACCACTGGGTATAGGGTTTCCTGCCTGAGCAGGGAGTTGGACCAGAAGGCCTCGAAGGTCCGTTCCAACTCTATTATTATTATTATTATTATTATTATTATTATTATTATTATTATTATTATTGTTGTTGTTGTTGTTGTTGTTGTTGTTGTTGTTGTTGTTGTTGTTATTAATCATTATCATTATAGTTTTCAAACTGTACATGAATAAATAAGTACATTAATATACATAGAATTAAAGTACACATATTTTTGCATTTGGGGAAAAATATTTAGAATATAATTATTGCTAACAAAATAATACTTTAAAAGTCTAAAATATGTAGGTGGTCTTTAACTATGCTATTAGAGAAAAATACTATTATTAGATGTAATATACACTATAATTTCTTTACACTCTTTTGTTATGTACAAAGTTCAATGTAAATAAAACCTCAGATACTACTTAGCTAGATCAAGTGGCTATCAATCATGTTAACTGCTCTCCAAAAACATGTTAAATACAAAACAATAATATATATTCGGCTAGAGTTTGATTTACAAATGAGGTGTTTATTTACAATTTGTTTTTTGTCAAAATTATCACTGTGTCGTGTCTGACTCGCCATGCGCCCCTGCTTGCAACCAGGCAGCAGAAGCAGAGAGTGGGCAGAAAAAGTGTTGGAATGCAAGGGAGGCTTGTGAGGGAGCTGAGGAATTCAAGTGAGCTGACACAACCCGAACAGTCCCAATACCCCAAGGTCAAACGCTGGGAAAACTCTTGAGCTGCTCAGAATGTTCCCAAAACAAAATGAACACAATTGATTGGTGGACAATGAATTGTGGGGAGGTCCACGTGAAAAGGGGGATTTTACCTACTTGAGACTTACTTGAAGTCAGGAATGAAGAAATAAAGCCAGGGATATCTGAATTGAGAGGAGTGGAATGAACATGCCACTCATTAAGAGGTATAGATGAATATGGGCAAAACCAGTTACTAAATTTGCAACTGGCACATGGCTCAATAGCTGAAGAATGATCTTTGCCTTTCTTTTTGATGAGAGCTTGCATATAAGATGTACCAATGGAAGGAAAGTGCTATTGACTGCTGCCCCTCTACATTATATGTCTTTCATCATAATAAGGAAAGATTTAGGATGTGCAAGAGTAGAATGATCTGGCTAGATGATTAAAAAGATAACAACAGGAATAAGCAGTGAGGATATAGTCAATTGATACAAAAATGCTATCTTAAACATGGAGAATAACAATAGTACTTAGCAATAGCAATTAGACTTATATACCACTTTGCAGTGCTTTACAGCCGTCTCTAAGCAGTTTACAGAGTCAGTATATTGCCCCAAACAATCTGGGACCTCATTTTACCAACCTTGGAAGGATGGAAGGCTGAGTCAACCTTGAGCTGGTGAGAATCGAACTGCCGAACAGGCAGCCGGCAGTCAGCAGAAGTAGCCTGCAGTACTGTATTCTAACCACTGAGCCACCAGTGGGAATGAATGGGTCTGGTGCCATCCATTGAAAAAAAACAACCACAAAGTTGTGATAAATGTGAAATGTTGAGTTGGTATAAAGTCCCTGTACTATAAAATAAAGGAAGATGCAATAGTACAGTGTACTGGAGGTGGCTATTAGAGTAATAGTAAACTTCACTCCCTCCCCTCCCCCCCCGCATGCATCCTGCTCCCTTCCTCCCCATTTTTTAATTCATATTGCTGTATTTTCATTATTTATTTTTTATTGTTTCATTATTTTACTATTGCTATATTTATATATTTTTTATAATTTTACATTCTATCGTTATAAGCTGCCCAGTGGTCCCATGGCAACATGTGTGGCAAATAAATTTAATAATAATAAAAATGAAAAAACAGGCATTTTTCAAGGCAATGTATATGCATTGTCAGAGCAGTTAAAGTAGAAGTTAAGATGGAGAATATTCAGTACAGGCCTGAACCTGCCATTCTTTCTGGGAAAGGTGAAAAAAAAAACTCAAAAAGAAAGTGGGAATGCAATCCTCCAGAGACATACTCTCAATCTCTTTGCATAAGAAAGAGGGAGTCAGACTGGCAGACTTCCTATAATGCCCTCCAAAACCAGAAAATTCTTGCAAATGTCACTGTTGTGCCATATTTTGTCCAGTTGTTGATGACTGTCTTCACTTGTTCCATGGTATATCCAAAGCCTTGGAAATTTTTTTGTTCCCGACTGATATCTTCCAACAATGAGATCTCTTGGATGCTTTGTAAGCTCTTTGCAGACCATGGCTTTTGCTGGAAGAGGCAACTGTGATAATGTCAGAAATGTCCTACTAAAACAGCTAAACTTTATTCGGCTTGATTGGAGTCAATTTAATTAATGGCAGGTATTTACCATCAGTTTCAATGTGATTAATTCTGAACACAATCACATCCATACTTATATGTCATTTAAGGCTTTTAACTACGTAGGAAAAATAATTTGTTTTATAGCAACTAGAAACCGACAGAGAAGTAAGCAGTACAAAGTTTCTACTTTATTCATTCAAAGACTTAAAACCTATTTGTCTTTTTCTCGGCAGTTAGCATGACATCTGGAAAGGAAATAAGGGAGCCAGACATTACAACTAAATGATATGTACAATTGCTGCTGAGATATTGAAAAATAAATCTTGTGTTTTATTCTCACATATGATATTATTTACAATATCAACTTTGCATGTTTTATAGAATGAGCCACAAAATTCAGTGAGATCAAGAGTGTGGAACTTAACATTAATAATTCAGTATGATATTTTTCTTTATTGACCTCATGGGAAAAACTGTTCATTTGTAAATGCTCCAGTCATGTGCACCTGAAGTTTAAATCAAACAGTCTGTGAAAGGCTTAAATTGTGGAACACAATTTTACAGACACTACCATTATGATACAAAAAGCTGGGTATGGCTATTCTCATCCAATCTGTGACCTTTTCTGGGCATTTGACTAACAAAAGATAGATAAGCTGATCCTCAAAATGGTAAATCTTGACATATTTTTCTTTCTCTTGTGAAATGGCCTTTTCATATCATTTCTAACCAACAGATCCATTGCAAGTTTAGTATCACATTTAAAGTAATACTAATAATAACACTGATAAACACACTTTGGATTTAGCACCTGTAAATGTGAAATAATAAGAAAGAATGCATTAGTTTAAGTGGCTATTTTAATCAAGAATGGATTATATTTATTTTTATGAAAATGGTATAAATATAAGGAGGGGTTTTTTTCTATTAGGCAAAAGCAACTGCACGCCATGATGCTTGTCTGGTACCTGGTTAATATAGTGGACTAGCAGAGCTTCTAAAGTATAGATCTCCTTGCTCTAAATCTCTTCCTCTTTACTATTTTAATAATACTTGGTTTGTTTTCTTAATGTAAAGAGATAGTATAGAAAGAAATCTGTATGCCCAAGTCTGTGAGAGAATGAAAGGTAAAGAATTCCAGAAGATACAAGTGAATTTTCCCTTTAGTGAGGGATGTGGTTTGACAAAGGATGTGGAAGAATTAAGCTGACAACGGAACAAAAGATACTGAGGAGAGATTTTTAAAGTGGAAATTATAGTATAGGAAATATTTCAGCCTAACATAGAAGTTTAAATCCTGTCTTCATCTTTTCTTCATTTGTTTCCCATGCTTCAAGTTACATAAAAATAAGTAATATATAAATAATACAGCAAACCATAACATAAAAGCATACATAATAAAATAATCTAACCTCAGTAGGAACAGTACCACCACATCTGCCACTGTTACAAGTTAAGGAAGGTGCAAGTAATATAGGAGAATAAGTTATGAAATGTGTTTAGTAAGTTTGTAAAAGACCAATGTTTTTATGTATAGACTCTGCACTCCAATTCAACATGCATTTCTATGTTATATTTGGCAAATGTCTGTAATCACAGTTTAATACTTACTCTGAAAGTTAGATCATGTGTAAGAGGAGAGGTATTGAAGTACGCAAAAATGGAATCTTGAAAATCTGAAAGTTTAAGACCTAAAAAATAAATACATAAATAAATACATAAGCCAATAAGAGTAATCATTCTGTAACCATATGTTGGCTAAATTTTCACCTGCATCAGATCGGTATTTTTCCTCCAGTTTCTTCTTTAAACCTTCAACTTCTTCCAAGAGTTCCTGATTTCTTGCTTCAGATTCCTTTAGTTTGCTAAATAATAAAATGGAAACACAGGGACATATTAAACATAAGTTAATTTTACTGCCCCTGTTCTTTGTTGAGTGCTTCTTCCAACCTTTTTAATTTTAGTTGTTCTTCATTTCCATTACAGAGGTAAGTGTCATTCATGTTTATAATTCATGAGTGTGATATACTGCCTCCAATACTAAAGACAGTTATACCAATTAAATTAAATTAAATTAAATACCAGTTGCTGAAAGAAACAAATGCCTAAAATATATCAGCATTTTTTAAAAAAATCCTTCAATACATGTTAAAATACATCATTATACAGGGGCCACCCCTTTCAAAAATTACCTTTCAAAGGACAGATTGGCATCTTTAACTTTCCTTAATTCTTCTTGAACTAGCTGTTTGGCACGTATTTCAGCATCAAGAGCAGACTGCAATTCCAGCCTTGCTGACATATCCAGCTTCTGACTACGTCTCACTTTCCAGAGTGGATCCTGTTACATCAAGCACTTGTTATTTCCTCTACATTATTAAAGGCATTTTAAACATTAATAACATTTTAAATATTAACACTATTCAAAAATTTCATTTTAACTTATGACTATTAATGAGTGTGTGTTTGATTTGAAAAACCTTATACAATTGGAAAAAAATATCAGAATAACTCTTTATATCTCTATCAGTTCCTATTGATTTCAGTTAAATTTACATTCTAATCAGAAACACATAAATGGAATCTGAAAAAAAAAAAGAGAGAGAGAGCAATGCCAGCAACACTTAACCAGAATGTTGCATTATGGACCTCTGTTAAACTTGCAGGTCTCAGGAGTACCACTCTTTCCTTGGGGTATAATAGGTAAAACATTTTCTTTCCTAATATATTGAAAGGAGGTGGAAAAGAGCAAAGGGAACATCAAATGAAACCACTTCCTGTCTTACGAAACATTGCCAAATCTATATTCTATTTCTTTGGGTTGTATATCATCTCCAATTCCTGCTTTTCTTGTAGCGTCTAATAATTATCGTCTATTCTTCCTTCAAATGTTATAATCTAGTTATTCTTCCAAAATGGATTTCAAAATAGGTAGTATTTAAAACAAAAACTAAATGAAATGAAATAAAAGCTGTCCATAAAAGTACTACAACACTCTATAAATAGCTATTTAATTCTTAAGGATTATTAAGGGATTAAATAAAATGTGATTAGTTTCAGTCTTGATTTAGAACCATGAACCAGGGATGGTGGAAAATATAAAAGGATTCATATTGAGAGAGTAACTTTGTCTCAAAGAAAGAGTGTCACAATAGTCAAAAAGGCATAAAAATCCAAATTGGTCAAGTGTTTCTAATCCGGAAAATAGGGTTAGTAAAAGAAGGTATAATGAAAATTTAGAAAGTATATATTATACTGAGAAAGCAGATGAAGACTTTTTTTCTTCATCTCTCATAGTAGCAGAACTCAGATCTTATTCAATGAGAACGCACCAGCAGATAACTTTGAATAAAGTATAAATCTTTCATTCAATGCATAATTTATTTGTGGAAATCATAGGCTAAAGATGTGAACACATAGATCATGGAATTGTCACTCAGTGACTATATAGGCAGGGGTCTTCAAACTTGGCCCTTTTGTGACTTGTGGACTTCAACTCCCAGAATTCTTCAGCCAGGCAGTGGCTGAGGAATTCTGGGAGTTGAAGTCCACAAGTCATAAAAGGGCCAAGTCTGAAGGCCCCTGATATAGGATAACTCTACATAGAGAAGCAGCATATAAAAAGGACAGACTGGGAGCAACAAGAGTAGAAAACAATTTAATTCATATCTTACTTGTGAACTTCTTAAGCTATCCGCCTAGGTTGGTGAGTTAAACAGACTGAGATGATCTGAGCCATCATATGGAAAGAATTCCTTAACATGATCTCATTTCCAGTGTATCGAGTTTTAAAAACACAACTGAATAATAAACAACTGTTTCCTCTTCTTTTAGAGCAGTGGACTCTCCCTTGCAGAGGCCAGCAAAAAAAGAGTGAGGGGACTTTCAAGTGCCATGGAGTAGTTCAGAAGACAATGCAATGGCTCTGTTGGATTATGATGGCCACGTTTAATACTGAACTCTTCACTCTCCCATGGCATCTAAGTAGGACACCAGCAGATACAGCTGATAGTGATTGAATTTCAACTAAAACATCAGAGGCACCATACATTATAAGGCTTTCCCATTAATTAATCATATACATTTCCATGCTCACCAGTGTTCTTGATCCCAGACTAGAGCTTTTTAAAGATTCAAGTTCTTCTGTCATCTTAGAAGCTAGTGCCTGAAGATAGCCGCGTGCATCTTTTTCGTCACTCACCCTAGTGTGTAAAGCATATCAGAAACATTACTTTACATAGGTGGTTAATTAAAAATGTTTCATATGCATTCAGTCACAGTAAAACACTAGTAAAACTATCAAACTATGCTCTTGAATGAAAATATATCATACATTTGAAACTAGCAGAGATTCCCTACCTATTGATTAAACAATTTTTACCAATTCTGTGGCTCTTTCCATGTTTACAGTTTTGTTGTTTGAGATCAACATAACCCTTTTCAGCTTTATTTCACTTATAATGTATTTCCTCTACAGTGGAAACATTTATATTTTACCAATACTGTTGGTTAAGAACACAAAAAATTCCGAACTCATATTTGAAATTCCTTTCCTCATGTTTTCAGGGTGAGGAAGTCTCATTTATAATGTGGCTCCTGAAATATGACCCATTTAAATCTTTTTTTCTGCCCAGTTAGGCTTTCAAAGGAAGACCCTTTCAGTTCCCTTAAAAATTAAAATGAAATAAGACAAAAGCAAAACATTATTTAAACCAGCTAGTTTAATCACAATGTTCAGGACTATGAGAGAGACAGTAAGCTAGTTTAGTAGTTCAGTGAAAACTTCCTCCATGAATATTATTCTTTAGAACCTTATCTTTTAATCAAGAGGAATATAATAATAATAATAATAATAATAATAATAACAACAACAACAACAACAACATGTCACATCTAATTTGACATTTGACCCATATTCATAAACTTGCTTTGGCAGGCAGACACAACACAGATTAGCCACTTTACTGCAGACAACAATGAAGACACACAGGAACTGCCTTCCGCAACACAGAGAAACTGAGCCCTATATTTATGTTTTTCCCCAAGAGTTTAAATTCCTCCCATTCTTCAACTCAACAATAGGAAAGGTTGTGGGCTGGGAAGACTGAGACAGCAATGGAAAGAACTGTAGTCATATACAAGAAAGATATGGAACTGAATTCTGTGGGTAGCTTATTTCAATACAATCCAGCTGGTGAAAATACTTGGGAGAGACTCTACCTTAAAAAATAAATAGTTGGAAATTCCTCTTGAAGTTTCTGAAATTTCTTATTTGCTCTTAATATTAATATTAATATTAAATATGCCCTAGGATGTCAAACCACCTAGCAAGGCTCTATTACCTATTATCCTTCTCATCTTTTCATCTTTCCTATTATCTATTTCCTTAGCTTCTTATGACTATAACTTTGTTGTTTGTATCTCATGATTTATGTTGTTTGCTTATTTAGTATCCTATGAGTATCACCGAGTTTGTATCTTATGATTGATGATGATTGTATTTTATGTTTAAGATCATGATTTATCACTTGTTGCTTGCACGTACACTGACAGCTTATGTGCCAGAGACAAATTCCTTGGGTATCCAATCATAATTGCTAATAAAGATAGAATTTTATTTTTAAGCCCGTAGAAAGTGGTGGGGAGATAGGAGTATTATATATATTTGCTGCTTTGAGTTATTTATAAAAATATGAAAGAGAAGAAATATAATAAGGTTTTGCTGCCCTCAGACAAATCCTCCACATTGGGGATCACTGAAGAATGTAATATTTTTTCCATTCAGACTGACTATTAAATTTATGAAGAATGTTATAATGGGGGATAATGAAGCTCTGTTGGAAAGTGATACAAATTCCTTTAGTATTTTGGCTATGTCATCATGTAATTTAAGAAAATATTTAAAGGCTCAACATTGTTTCATCTTACTTACCTGGTACCAGAGCTCTCAGGTTTTTTAGTAAAAAAAAATATTGAAATAGCAAAATGAAGGAGAGCCATTGGTATTTAGACAATAATTAAAACTAAGATTTAGTTGCTCTCATTGTAGAGAAATTAGTCAATATGAAATTGATAAAATGCTTGTAATGGTGAGGAAAAAAGAGAAGACAATATTCTAACCTATTAACATTTGCTGCTATGTGTAATTTATGAAGTTGATTACATTCACAAAATGATACATTTCAATTCTCTTCAAGATTTACTTCTGTTGAGAAAGTTCCAAGTATATTTTTTTAAAAAAACCTGGATCCCAAAGGGTACATACCATTGAATGATTTCTGCAATCTGAGCTTCCCAATGGGCCACAGATTCCTTTTTTCCTGCCAAATCCTGAAGCTCGTCCTCTAACTGTCTGTTTTGTGATGTCAGTTTATCGACAAAGGAACAAAGCTGTGACAACAAAATGTATTATTTAGCAGTTTTCATAAATGTAATTTAATGTAACTTACAGCCCATTCAAGCTATGTGCAAACTGCTTGCAACATGCCAAGCAGTGAAAGCCCTAGACCAGACAAAGTGCATACATATGTGATATTTAAAACAAAATACGCAAAATAATTCATCAAAGTTCTACTTGGCATAGGAATATTCACACACGCAAACACGAAGTTCAGAAATATAGCTACTCTTTCTTGATTTTTTGGGAGGAGGAGAATTGAAAAAAAATCTGAATTTACATACTATTTGAAATTAAAAAATAATTCTGTATAATCTCAATTACCTTTTCATTTTCAGTCGTTAATTTCTTATTATCTTCAAACAACATCGTTCTCTCTCGTTCATATTTGTCTTTTAGAGTTCCCACAGCTTCTTCCATCTCACTGTGCCTAGAATTGAAATAAAATCCCATAAATGCCCATTCAAAGTTTGCTAACATCTTTTTTTACTTTACTTTTGGATTTCAGATACTTTTTGAACAATTAAAAACATAAGCTTTCAAAATACAATTTTACACAGTACTTACTTCTCTCGTTTTGCCTTATCCAGTTTATCTTTTAATACCATGATTTCTTTTTGAAGTGCAAGCTGATGGCTTTCTAAATCATGTGTCTCCTTTTTCACATTTTTTACTTCCAAGACATGGGAAGCTTCTCGCCTGACCAACTCTTCTTCATAAAATGAAATTTTATTCTGAAGCTCTGAGTTCACTTTAGCTAGCTCCTGTTGATGCTCCTGCATGGCCATTCCTGCACTGCGTCCTCCTTGCTTTACCTGCGAAAGAGCAGAAATTGTTAAAAAAGGGGAGGCATGTAAAAGTTTGTCTCTTTAATATTAAAGCTAAAGTTCTGATTGAACCAAGAGACAAATCGGGATGCTTCAAGTTAGCTCTTTGAAGCAACAAGAATTTGGAATTCCTGGAGTTCTAAGCCATAAGAATGGTAGATTTCCCTGCCCTAAATGGAACCGGTGAACAATCTGAGCTCCTCCTTGACTCTTGGCTTCTGCTTGAAGAGTAAATGGTAGCTAGTTAGGTTAGGTTAGGTTCTTTGCATAAATGCATCTTGTGTGCCAGTTACATCCATTCAAGAATCAAGGGGCCTTACTCAAAGTTGTTCACACTATACTCATCTCTAATCTGGATTTCTGCAATGCCCTTCGTATGGGCATGTTCTTGAAGACTACTTAGAGGCTACAAATACTCCAAAATATAGTGCCATGAGAAGTTTCATGTGTGAATCAGCCATCAGTCACCTGTGTACTTCTGAATATAATTTAAAATGCTGGTGATCACCTATAAAACCCATCACGAGACATAGCTGTTCTTTAGACCACCTGTTTCCAATTACCTGTGTTATGATCTAATAGGGTTGGTGTGCTCTGGGTTCTGTCTACTAACCAGCTTCATTTTAGGGGACTTAGGAGTTATGCTTTCTCTGTTACCACAGAATATAAAACACAGCATAGGGTTGGAGGTCTTCTATCCAAACCCCTGCCCATGGCAGGAGATCTTATACGATTCCAGACAAATGGCTGTCCAGTCTCTTCTTGAAAATCTCCAGGGATGAGTACCTACAATTTCTTGAGGCAAATTGTTCCACTGATTAACTGTTCCCACTGTCAGAAAATATCTACCCTCTATGGAAGAGCATTCCCTGAATTATTTTGATGGTCTCAAATGTCTTTTCAAATACTTGAAAACCAAGCTGTTCTCCCAGGGTCTGAACCACAAGGCTGTGTGAACTCATTTTAAATGCTGCTGTTGGTAACTTTTTTTTCCGATGCCTGGAGTCACATAGTGAGTTGAAATTAAAACAATAAATAAAATGTAGGTAACTTGTCAAGTATATAAGACATGAAGTGAAAGTTAATATACTCCCATAAATACAACTTTCCATCATGAGCCTGGGAGCATACCACCTAACCCAACATTTTTATGGAATGTCTAATATATGCAACTGACTGACAATAGTAGTAACTGTGAGAGGGATCTTGGAGTCCTAGTGGACAATCATTTAAATATGAGCTAGCAGTGTGCTGCAGCTGCCAAAAAAGCCAACACAGTGCTAGGCTGCATTAACAGAGGGATAGAATCAAGTTCACATGAAGTATTAATACTTTACAATGCCTTGGTAAGGCCATGCTTGGAATACTGCATCCAGTTTTGGTCACCACGATGTAAAAAAGATGTTGAGACTCTAGAAAGAGTACAGAGAAGAGCAACAAAGATGATTAGGGGACTGGAGGCTAAAACATATAAGGAACGGTTGCTGGAATTGGATATGTCTAGTCTAATAAAAAGAAGGACGATAGCAGTGTTCCAATATCTCAGGGGCTGCCACAAAGAAGAAGGAATCAAGCTATTTTCCAAAGCGCCTGAGGGCAGGACAAGAAACAACGGATGGAAACTAATCAAGGAGAGAAGCAACCTAGAACTAAGGAGAAACTTCCTGACAGTTAGACCAATTAACCAGTGGAACAACCTGCCTCCAGAAGTGGTGAATACTCCAACACTGGAAGTTTTTAAGAAGAGACTGGACAATCATTTGTCCAAAATGATATAGGGTTACCTGCCTGAGCAGGGGGTTGGACTTGATGACCTCCAAGGTCCCTTCCAACTTTATTATTATTATTATTGACTATAAATGAAAATGCATACGATGCCAATTTGGTTTTAGATGAATAATAATTGTATTGAGATTTCTGAGAAGCTGAATTCTAGAATATGGCTAGTTTGCAACTGTAAAATGGAGTATATTAAACACCCACACTTCTTGTTCTTCCCAAATAAAGTAAGCCTCAGATGGCTTAATCATCCATAACATATTGTCACCTTTAGTGTTTCCAGTTCATTTTCCAGCTGTTTAGCTGCTTTTTCACTACATTCTCTAAGTTTCCGCTCTTTTGATACTTCTGCTAGTGCATCATCAAGTTGTCCTTCTAGCTATAAAAAGAAAAATAAGCCTAATTATAGAAACAACTTGAGCTTAGCCATTACTAATTCTACAACATCAAGAGGAACTAGCTATTGTACAAAATCCTTGAAGTACTAAAAAATAAGGTAAAGTCTACATAATAAACAGCAAGACTTACAGGAAAAGGAAAATAGAGTGTAAAAACAGGCCCATATAAGGATACACATATCCTCGTAATTTATTTCTGAAACTTAAAAAAAGGTTTTGTCATACCTTATTTTCATTGTTGTGGTTTCTACCATATCCTAATGATTTCACTGAACCTATATTATATTATTTTTATAGCAAATGTACACCCCAAATAAGAGGCAGATTCTATTATGTTTTAAAAATAAACTGTTTGATATGTATCAGTATAAAGATATGTATCAGTATAAAGAATGGAAAAATACGGTATCTTTATGATTAAATAAAAATTCTAACAATAAAAGTGCCTTATTATAGAGATGTGAGGTGGGGTGAGTAAAACCGTAATCCAGAAAATTGTTATGAATGTAGACATTATAATAAACTGTACCCATTCAATTAATACTTCACACTTTCTTTTTCTGCATAACCTTCCAAACTAGAAGCATTGATAAGACTTTCACACACACACCCAAAATTAAACAGTTGGGTATAACTTTTCTAAGTATCAGTATCAGTTAAAATCCATTATCCTCAAATACCCTGCTGAGCTACCTCTTTCCTTGCTTTTTCCAATTTACGCATTTCTTGTCTCATAGAGTCAGTTTTCTGCATGATCACTTCCACTTCTTCCTCTTTGTCACGGAGTTGTCGAGAGAGTTTCTGCTTGTAAGAACGCAAGTCTGCCATCCTCTCATTCAGTTCTGAGAACTCCTGCATTGCTAGCTTTCTTTGCTGATGAGCATCCTTTAATTCTTTCGACTGTATCTTTAATCTTTCGGATACCTCAAGGAGTTGCTAGTGAGAGAAAAGGCCCGAATCAGTTTAAAAGCTATACTGAGTTTTAAGATACATTTGATTAAAGTCAAATAGTACTCTGGCAAAGTGTACAGAAGCATGCTACAATTATATCTTGCAAATTTGAGAGAGTGACTTTGCCTCTCCCAGGTATCCTCAGGGAGAGGCAAAGTATAAATAATATTTCAATAGAAAGCTAATATTGGTTTTTATTACATCACCAGCTTGATATGCTCAATACATTATATATTTATTTTCAATTTCTCTCTTTTTCCTCTTCTTTCCATACTTTTTAAATCTATTTCCCTTTCTTTTCCTATCTTTTACTCATCCCATTTATACACTGTAGCTAGCTAGCATCATCTGATTCTTTCTCTCTTCCTTATCTTTCCTCCATTCTCACATCTTTAATTGTTCTATTTCCTTCTCTCCTCTTTTTTTCTCCTCCATCTTCAAAGGAAAAAAAATAACAGATTTTTTATTCTTCTGTGGTTTCTGCTTTTGCTTTCCACTTGCATTCTGCAGATCTTTTCCTTCCCAGAAGCAGAAAAGGAATATAAATTGCAAGGTTTTGCTGCAATTCCTGGCAAAAGGAGCCATGGGATAAGAAATTAGTAAAATCTTTACTCTTGGTGATTGTCTATTCTTTAGAGATTACACAGGAATAGCAGCTTCCCTTTTCTCACTGGGATTAAAGACAGGGAATACCTTAAGGTAGTTACGTACATGGGTTTTTAGTTAACACTCTTGGCCTTCCTCTGAGGATAGGCAACCTTTTGTACCTTTGAACAACAAATGTGACTCCGTGATTGCATCTCTACAGGTTTTTTAGCTTTGTTAAGGAAGTGATTTGCCAACTTCCTCCATCTAGGATGTTTTTTTTGACTTCCATGTCCACTTTATAGCCCTGGAATTCCCAAATGGTATCCCACCCAAACACTAAAATTAGTGGTGTGCCAAATATTTTGAGCCCCAAACATCCCATTCTGAAAACCATATATCCCATTTCAAAGTTTAAACAGGATGTTTTGCCTTACGAAAAGCATTTAGACACTGTTCTGGTATTAGCAGAAATGTTCTTAGCTTGAAGTGACAGAATTATGATTCAAAACATTTTGTACACCACTATATTAATTATGTAGTATAGGTTTTCCTTATGCAAAAATATATACAGGATATAATTCAGTTTAATCCACAATTGAAATGTTACTCTAAATTGCCTTAGATGTGTGGAAGAAAGCAGTAGAAGAAGTAAATGAAAGTTAATGAAATGTGGCATCTGCTGTTCATGGGTAAGAAACTAGATTTATGGCCGTGACATTACAGCAAAAAATGTCCTGTTGGCAATTTCAGGATACATGTTTTAGTGACAAATTTCTTCTGTCTTTTTTGTATTGCATATAAAGAAAGACTTTTAAATAACATCTCACTCCAATAGTTGGGGTATTATTAAGTAAATATAATGGAGCAGCTAAAAAAAGTCTGGATTAGTAAAGCCTAGATCCTGATTATTGTCTACTCAGCCATGAAGATTGCTGACTTGTGCAATCCTAAAAAATACTGGCATGTCTATATTATATAATTCCTATTATATTGAAATATATTATTTCCATGCTCTGGAGAAAAAGTACATGATATGAATATGATAAGCAACATATTTTAGTAATAACCATTCTTAAATTATGTTGCTGGGCTGGCCAAACCAGCTGTTTTATACCTCTATTTCCTAGGCAACATATATCTTACTTCAATGAAGCATTTTCAACAATCAATACCTTATGAAGATCTTCCTTCTCCTGCCTGAGTATCCTGCATTGCTTTTCAAGGCCTTTTAACTTGTGGGTGGAATCTTCATGTTCCTGTCGCAATGTCACTGCATCTTCAAGCTGCCGTTCTAACCTATTTGAATCTATGAACAGGGAAGTTTCTTTTCACAGATGATAGAGAAACAATTCTACATTTCTCTCTGTTAAGATGAACAATTTAAATTGGATCACAATTCTTCCCTGTTACAGTATACATTGGCAAAATCGCATTTTATTTACTCTTTGAATTCTCACTGAGGTTTATGGAATATTTTCCACAAGGAAAAGGAAGGAAATAATCACAGGCCAATGCATGGTACAGACATTGCAGGAAGAAACAAGAAATTAAATTAAGCAATGAAGGCCCCACCCCTCAGTCATCTCTAGCTTAAATTAATCTTCTTGCCATTAGAGATTTAATCAAAAGTTTCTTTATATTCAAGCTTTTAAGTTAACAAGAACTGGAAACCTTTAAAGATAAAAATAAGAAAGAAGGGGAGGAAAATAAGACATAAAATCGTCCCTTTGGCTTTCTGTCATAATTCCACCATGGAAAATGGAGGGGGGGGATCTTTCTGAACAACTAATACTTTAGGAATTTTGGAAATATATTGTGGGAACTTTTGTAAATATGGCTACTGTTGGGTGGAGGGAAAAACATAGCCAGTTACAAAGCATGAATTTATCAAAATGCTGCCTGGCATCCCTTCTATCTTGTCATTCTAAAAAATTCTTCTTATTGCTGTTCTCACATTTCTTCTTCCTTGAGCAAATGAATATACTTTCTAACGAATTTCTGGGCAGCAAGTTATGTCTCATTTTTATTTTAATGGTTATATTTAATCTGCAGTAGCAAATGAAGATAATACTTAAGGTTGGCACTACATTTGCAGCATTCCAGCTTTTTCTTTTCCTTTTTTTTTTAAACTGGAAAAAAAAATCAGGCAGGCCAAGGAATCTGGCAGGGAAAACTGAGAAGCTTTGTAGATGAATTGGTATCACCAGATGCCATATTCTAGTCCTCAGGTTTATAATATGATAAATAGCTTGAATATAAAGAAAAAAATATAAAGAAAAAATACACACACACACACACACAAACGCACACAAGAGTCTATATGTTATGCAAGTTATAGAATTGTTCTTTATTTTTTTTAAAAAAATCTCTAGAAGTTCTAGAATATAAACTAAAAGGGAATTAATTGTTGTTGTTATCCCACTTGCTTTTATATACAGTATTACGGTCAACTCAAGGCAACGAATATACCTAATATTTCTACTTTCTCCTTTCCCCACAACCTTTTGAGGTGTTGGGCTGAAAGAGAGTGATTGGCCCAAAATCACTAGCTGGGTTTCACGCTCAAGGGAGGTCTAGAAGTCATATTCTCTGGGTGTTTAGACCAGGGGTAGGCAATCTTGGCTTTTTTTTATGACTCGTGGACTTCAATTCCCAGAATTCCTGAGCCAGCCATGCTGGCTCAGGAATTCTGGGAGTTGAAGTCCACGAATCATAAAAGAGCCAAGGTTGCCTACCCCTGGTCTAGACCAACACTTTAACCACTATATCAAACTGGCTCTTCATAGGAAACATTTGAAAAAGTAGACATTTATGCTGCATCTGCAAATAACTATGTTGAAAAAAAAAATCAATTATGACCTTACATTCTAAACTCTGGAGGAGGATTAACAATTGGATTTTAATCAAAACTCACAATTGTGATTTTTTTCAACAGAAGTGATGCACATTTTTTAAAAAGCATTTTACAAACTGAAAAAAATAATTAAAATAAATATTCTTATATAACAAAAGCCACATGATTCTGATTCAAATCTTCTTCCAATGGTTTAAGGCAGGTATGTCCAACCTTTTGGCTTGCCGAGCCACATTAAACAGGAATTGTCCTGGGCTGCATACAAAATATATATAATATAGTAAAAGGTATATAAATTACAAAGTTCCTTTATTTTAGAGGGCCTTATGAGGCCACATTACTAGTTGTCCAGGGCTGCATGTGGGCCCCAGGCCATGGGTTGGACACACCTGGTTTAAAGACTGATTACTGTAAATTGCTTCACCTGCAACCCATCTATAATCTTAGAACCATCATAGACCCTGCCTAAATATGCCATATATTAAGATTACATAACATTTATTGTTTTAATTTATGATATGGACTTCTATGGAGATTCTCAGTCATCCCAGGTCATGGTTGTCCCAAAGGTGTTTTTTCAAAAGGCAACTGGATTTCCTTTGCTTTCGCTTGAAGATGTTTCGCTTCTCATCCAAGAAGCTGCTTCAAAACTGAAGAGAAGCAAAACATCTTCAAGCAAAAGAGCACCTTTGGGATATGATATGGACCTTGTTCATTTCCCCCCTTGACTAAGTTGCATAAGAGACAAGCTCTGGTTTTACAAACAATAAAAATTCACAACAAATAACTAGGACAGTGATGGCAAACCTTTTAGAGCCTGAGTGCCCAAACTGCAACCCAAAACCCACTTATTTATCTCTGGGTACCGGGTGGGCGTGGCCCACTGGGTGGGCATGGCTGTGGTCATGGCAGACTGGGTGGGTGTGGCCAAGGTAGGCGTGGTCACCTCGATGTTGCTTGTGGGGACAGATGCCTGTGGGGGCCTGGCAGGGTTGGGGGAGATCCAGGGGGTGTCTGGCAGGTGGGGCAGTGGGCAGGAGGCTTGTCCAGTGGGGTGAGGCGAGGCAGGGCGAGGGTGCCATTGTCGCAGGGCAAGGCGAGGCAGGGGCCGGGGCGGCTGCTGCCTGACACCATTGGCCCCCGCACACAGAGGCCAGCGAGTGCATGGGGGCTGACAGTGTCCGTCAGCAGCCACAGCCTGCCGGCCCATTCTGGGGCTCCACAGCCCACTGCCTCTGAGCTGCCTCTGAGCTGGACGGCTGGCCAACAGCTGAGGAGGCAATACAGTGGGTCGTGCCCACAAAAAGGAGAGCATGCGAGGCCAGGAGGGATGGAGGAGAGGGAAACCAGCCATGTTGGGATGGCATCCAGCCATGTGGGAGCTCAGCGAGTTAGTGGGCAGCTGGTTGAAGGACGGTTGCCATCTCCAAGACATGGCGCGCGTGCCCACAGGGAGGGCTCTGAGTGCCACCTCTGGCACGCGTGCCTTAGGTTCGCCACCACTGAACTAGGAGGTGTCTGGTAATAGACTTATTAATACATTGTATTAAAAGTCATAGGTTCTCCTCCTTCTTATGTAGCTCATATAAGGAAATATAGACAAATAATACAAATATGTAATTGACACTGCTGCAAAAAGCAGCAATAAATGTGAAGATGGGAGTTTATTTAAATAATCTGAGCTAAGATTGACAGTTCTCAGCACCGTTAGTGTAAGCAAGCCAGGTTTTAATGAAAGTTTTTACAAATTCACAATATGAACCAACTGGATAGCCATATGAAAGAGCCCCCAGAAAAAATGACTGAAGCACACCTTTTAAAGTGCACAGCACAAATTAGGGCTGTATTACTGGATTTAGTAATATATTCCAAAACTTACCTGCTATTTTATTTTTCAAGCGTTCAATTTCTTCATTTAGCTTTTTTATTTCTTTATCCCTATTTGTGTTCACTGTTAAGCGAGTAGAACCATGAAGGGACTGAAGAGCCTGGGTAGACTCTTAAATTGAATGAAAAACATAATGGTTAGAAATGATAACATTATATTATTCCACCACATGGAATATAAGAAAGCCAATGAGAGGGCATACCTTGCAGCTTCCTACTCAGTTCCAGCTTTTCCTGTTCCAGTCTTCGTATTCTCCTCTCATATGCCTCTATTTGCAAGCTATTCTCCAGGTCACGCTGGACATCCTCGTCTTTGGTTATGCTACTGGACTGCATTACACTTCTAAGTGAACCTCGATCAGAAAAACAGCTAAGACCCAAAATAATCAGTGCACACATCAATTAACAAGTTTAATCAACCTTAAACAGCAACTTCCTTTTGAAAATTCAATAGAATCAGAGGAGTTAATAAAATCTTACGTTATATAAGTTATATAAATGTTTACCTACTGAGTGAGCTGGCCAGTAAATAGCAATCTGTTTTTGCTCACTCCAACCCCATAAAGCAGTGGTTCTCAACCTTTTTAATGCCACGACCCCCAACCGGTCGTAAGTCGAGGACTAAACCGGTCATTAAGTCGAGGACTAAACCGGTCATAAGTCAAGGACTACCCAACCGGTCGTAAGTCAAGGACTTTCCCTGCCCGGGAGCGCCGCGCATGCGTGGTTCCGCCCCCTGCGCCGGCCGAGGCGTAGCTGGCAAGCGGCAGAGACGGAGCAGGCCGACCACCAGCTGGCCCAGCTCAAGGGAGGTAAAGCACCCGCCGGAAAAGGGAAAAAAAATGGCGGACAGCCTTGCTTGGCGACCCCCGTGAAATGGGCGATCGACCCCAAATGGGGTCACGACCCATAGGTGGAGAACCGCTGCCATAAAGGAAAGCTTACTTGCAAGGAAGTAGCAATAATAACTTTTACACCAATGTGATTTAAAGCAGAAGATTGCTCCCATTGCTCCCACGTGCTCTTTTCTGTTTCACTTTTTAAGACAGGCAAATGAAGTACAGGAGAAGATTGCCTTTCCAAGGGAAGGTACATTACTTTTTTTTCATAATAATCTCAGGTTTAACACTCAGGAAAACCTGGAGCATCTTTGAAAGATGGAACACAAACCTCTGGATTAAGTCAGCCCAGCGATCTGATTCAAGTTCAGTTTGCTAACATTATATACATTTATGACAAGAGCTTGAAAATGATTTTCACCAGATCATATTTCTTTTTGCCTGCCAGAGAGCAAGTTTTTCCTTTAATACAGCAATCAAGACTAACATAAGCTAAAAAAAAAAATCTATAAGTAACTAAGCTTGTGGATAGCTAATCTATCATGCTTCCTGTAGGATACCTGTCTATGAAGCTCATTGAGTAGTTTTACAATAATCATTAGTCCTTAACTGTTTGAGGACAACATTTAATGTGGACACACTAGGTACACTACCCTAGCTACATGAAGCACAAAGAAAAGATAACAATTTATTGTGTATAAAAAACAATAAAGAACCAATAATAAAGAATATTAGCATAACTCAGAAATCCAGATAATAGAAATAATAGTATGTTTTATTTACTGTGAACGTAATACATATACTATGCTGGGAGGCTGAAGCTTAGAGAAAATTGATTCTTTTTGTAGTTAGGATTGTAGTTAGAACCATTAATTGGATTACTTTGGAATAGGTACCTGATATGATCCATCATTTATACCTGAGTTGCTTTATAGCATGGGTGTCAAACTCAATTTCATTGAGGGCCGCATCAGCATTGTGGTTGCCCTCGGGGGGGGGTGGCCAAGGTGGGTGTGGCCTACTGGGTGGGTGTGGATGGAGCGGGTGTGGCCTACTGGGTGGGCATGGCCAGCTCTACATCGTTCGCATCAAGGGTGCCTGTGGGGGCCTGGGCAGGAGTGGGACAGATCTGAGGGTCTCTGGCAGAAGGGGGTGGGACCAGGGCAAGTGCCAAGGCATGGTCCACTGGAGGAGCCTCACTGCCTGCTGAAACCCCTCCCCAGGAGCCCATCAAGCTGGATATGTGAAGTAGGCGAGGGCCATTTGCTGGCCACTTCCAGGCAATGGTGCATTTCTTCATTCCTCACAAAGGGTGACACCTCCCCAGCATGCACCCAGGGGGCAGGGCCGACACGGCAGGGGCTGGTTCCTCGCTGTTTCCAGACGTCCTTGTGGAGCTAAGACTGAATGCGTTTCAGTATAGATGGCCACCACAAAATTGTACATTGGCTCCCGGCCGACCTGGGCCAGAGCCAAGGCAGTGGGGGCCGTTCCCTCACTGTTTCCAGGATGGCTTCGCGGGCCACATGAAACCACTTCGTGGGCCGCATCCGGCCCCCGGGCCTTGTGTTTGACATGTCTGCTTTATAGCAAAAGGGGCAGCATATAAATTTAATAAATAGATAAAATAAATCAAAACCTATTACTTAGCTTTTTTTTGTCCCATCAACACAGAGAGCTATTATATATAAAGAATTAGCATAAAGAGCAGTAGAATTGATGTGGGCAAAACAGAAAAGAGGGAGGTCGGTTCCCCCTCCCCTCTTTTTGTTCTATAACTTTAGAAATCAGCTGATGTACTATACAGGCTTGGATCTAATGAATTCCAAGCTTAAATAATACACATGTATTATTACATACGCTACTTCACATTTACTCTGTAACACTGCCGTTATAGAAAAATACCTCTTTTTCTTTCCCATATCATTCTGTAAAGCATTTGTACCTGACAGTGTTATACAAATTAATCATAAAAAAGAAGTAAAGACTACCCCTAGAGTTAGAGCCCTCCATGTGAGCTTTCTAAACTGCAATTCTTTTTTTTTTTAATTGAACCTACCTTTCTGTTGTGTAGGTAAAGCCAACAAAAGGTAAATGTAACCCAGAAAAGCCAGTATGAGAACCGGGTGGTATCATTTCCTGCACAAAACAAATACAAGAAGATTACGAATGTTAAATCAAAACATGATGAGTTTATTCAAAATTGAAAGTATAACATAATATAAACAGAAAAAGCATGTGTTTAAAAGAATGTTTAAAAGCCTTTCAACCTGCCTTTTAAGGTCCACTATCCTCACAAAAGCAGCTTGGGGGAATCCTAAACTTAAATCATGCTTCCAACAAATACTTCATTTATCTGCAATTCTGTGCAACATTTTCATTTATTAATAGAGCATTATTTAAATTGTTCTTATAACCAGATCTGGTATCTCTTTATTGCATAGTATGTATTTGCATATTTTTTTCAAATATAGAAAGAACATTGTAGTGGTGTTATCCACATGCTTGTGAAGTCCACTTCTTTTTGCACTGTGCTTTCTTATTTCTAAAGCTATCAGCGCATGATGGCAACTAGGGCTTTTTGTTTATTAGCTGGCTTGTCACAAGTCCTGATGCTGATGTGTTCAGAGAAAATGACTGGCCCAAACTCATCCAGAGCTCTTCCTTGATTAAGGAGACCAGCATCTCAGCCATTATACCATGCTGGTTCTCTCTATTCAGAGAAATAAGTGATATAACATCCCTATAAAAGGTCTTTCTACATACCAAGTTATTTTATTTTCACTTTTCTCTCTTGATTTTTTTAAAATTTACTCTGACTTAACCCAGTCCCACTCTGAAGCAAAGAATGAAATGTTCATGCTAGATGTGAAGTGAATGAATAAAAAGTAACGTGAAAATGAAATGACTGAGTGGAATGTACCTCAGGTCAGAACTGCTGGCCCTGCGCAATTCCCCCCTCGCACAGGTGTGGCCCAACTCAATTTCAAGGGCCTGCCTCGATGACGGGGTGTGGAGCCCCGAGAGGTGGTATGCGGCCAAAAGAGATCAAAGGAAGTGGAAACTAAGGGCTTTTTAAAAGGGGTGTTTTAGCAAATTTTTAAGGGGTTCGGGGTTTTTAGGGGGTTCGGGGTTGGCCCGAGGGGACTTGGGGGAGCCCTCTCTGAGGCCAAGGCCAGTCCAGTCTGGGGGGCGCGGAGTGGTAAGGGAGGAGACTGGGGGGTTAATAGAGGGTGGTGTGATTAGTACGGTCAGTGGGAGGGGCAGATATGGCGGGAGCAGAGGACCATATCGAGTTTTGGGAGCACGCACACGCTGCCTACAAGCTTGTGGATGCTCCGATCCTCAGGGCTCTACTCGACTTCCAGGGACCTCAGATCCTCGGGCCCGGGACCATCGGCTGATGTTGTGCAATGCCAGGTCCGTAGTAAATAAGGCCCCCCTCATTCAAGAGCTTATCCAAGAGGGGGGAGCGGACCTGGCAGGTATCACCGAGACCTGGTTGGGCATGGAAGGGGGAGTTCCCCTTGTTGATCTATGCCCACCAGGTTTCCAGGCATTCCATCGGCCGAGGGCCCGGGGTAGGGGCGGTGGGGTGGCGGTCATTATAAGGGAGAGCCTATGTCCAAGGGAGGCCACTGTGCCTCAGATAGACGGTGTGGAGTCCCTCCTTGTGAA